CCACGTGGACATAATAAAGGCTAGGAAGTTCATGTTCAAGTTACACATTGCTCTTGGTTTACCAGGACCCTGGATGCAGGACATTTGGCTGTCACAAACATACATGTACACGTCATACAAATTGTTGTTGTCGGAAGGCATTTGATTGGTGCTTGATTTGGGTACTTCAGGTCTAGGAAGTTCACATTCAAGTCAAAAGGTTGTCAGTACACTAGAGCCCTGGATGCAGGAAGTTATTTACTGGCGAAATGCCAAACTCTTAAAGCTTAGAGCGTCAATGAATGGAAATATATGTCTACCCTGAGTGTAGTCATTGGCCACTATACCATCAAACATTTGCCACTGTACTTGTAAACTTACTGTCTGTAGAAAAATAGGCCAAAAAAGAAGAAATAGTTCTGCTTTCAGTTACCCTACCTACCCTATTTTGACAGCCCCTACCCAAATCATCAATTACTACCTTTTACCCTCAACTACATGAGTCACTTCCATAAGATCGTGCACAAAAAATATTGCCCCCCCAAAAAAAAAAAGATGTCCCTACCTATGCTATGTAACTTCGAATTCAAGTCATAAGTTTATGTTCATTTCCACTACACTACTACAGCCTTTTTAAGTTAAATACACAAAATGCAAACTCATGTCAAGCTCCTGAGCAAGCATAAAGAAAAAAGAAATTGTATTTAACGCAACAAAGTTCTGTTCTGCTACCATAGCCATGGATGGATGCAGAAGAAGTTGAGAAGAGGCAAAATTGCAAACTCATGTCACGCACAGATATTTCATAAAAACGAATCAAGTTCTTTTCATTATACTACAGGCCTTGACACAGAAGCTAAGAATGGGCATTTGATGCTCCAACGAGCATACCGGTGTCACGGTCTCACTTCTCTGGCGTGCTAGCTTCTCCGGGTCGATTTGGCGGATAACTGAGCACGTTACATGAGCACGATTCATGCTCACGTGTCCGCTGTGCTTACTTTTCCTTGGGCTGTTTTCTGAAGTCTACCAAGCCCATTAATAACACATTGAGGGACACCCAAGAATGTGTTATGTAACACTTCCTGTGGGTCAAGTCATTCCATGGTCTTGCAAGCATTCTGGTTTGTGTTCCCAGCATCATGCATGTGTGTGTTCATGGAGGAATAATTAAGAACGAACTCCTTGGTCCGTGTTCCTTGCTCGTTCGTGGTCCATTTTGTCCTTATTTTTGCAACCACGGCTTAAAATAAATGTGCATTTCAAATTCAAGTCTTTAATATTGGGAGTTAATAGTGCGCGCCACGAAAATTCTATGCATACAAATATCTTACGTACACAAGAACAGCCCCGAAAAACTCAGCACACTAATACAGTGACGAAAATGTACACTACTGCGCAATTTTGTGCATGCGTGTTGAAGCGAAATTTCCGTTTTGGAGAAGCTAGCACGCCGGAGAAGTGAGACCGTGACACTGGATGTGTCTTTTTATTGTTCAAATGACCCTCTTGAAATATTCAAACTATCAAGTTCTTTTCTAGTTTTGCCACAGCCCTTGACACAGAAGTTATGAATGGGCAAAATGCAAACTCATGTGACGCTCATCTGAGCATAATGAATGGGTGTTAGTTTCACTGACCAGGCCCCCCCTTTTGAAGTGCACCGTTCACGTTATGATCAAGTTATTTTCATTAATTTAACTACAACCTCAATGCAGGAAGTTATGAACTGGCAAAACGTCTAACTCTTGTGAAGCATTATGGTAATAAGAGTGCGGTTGCACTGTGTAACAAATCTCTTTTGAAAGTCTGTGAGAGATTTTATTACATGGTGCAACCACAGAGCAAGGACCCAAGGAGTCAGAACTCTTAGTTAACATACCAATCCCTCGGAAATGTCTATAGCTACAGCACTGTGACCGCAAGCCTCGACCATTCAAAGCGTGAATGCCAGCGGCCTTTGAACACGATGATCGTCGCCGCCTTTTTAGTTGGTAACCAACAACCTCCCTTTATGCTGCATAATAAGTCATGTCACGTCGCTGCTCTTTTTTTGAAAAATATATTTTACGACAAGAAAGGTTTTTAAAACTGCGCAGTTGTTAGATGCGAGTTATGAACTCAAGTTAGCAATGTGCAGTTGTTGGTGCTTAAAAGCGTTATCTGTCCCTGTAATTTGGAGATAAATTGGATTTCTTTCAGATAAGTTTTCATGTATATTCAGAAATATTAATTGGCAATATATCATTGATGAAATGTGTTTTTTTTTTTAAATTTCACAAGTTTTCACACTTAAGGTACAGAGCATTTTGTTCTTCATGAAATGATTGTTCAAGTGATGTTGACCACATTTATATACAGTATCATCCAACTGCGAACAAACACTTCAAAATCATTCATTTTTAGCGATGTTTGGCAACTGCGCATGCGTATTTACCATGGTACTGTCTACGAAGCCATGCAAACTCCTTTTTCTGGCATTAGTGAGCGCGGATCTCTATTGTGTAGAGATTAGCGTAGTGAGCAACTGAGCAAGCTGGCCGCCAGGTGCTTTCTATTGTAGCTTTCGAGCGCGGCGACCATCGTTTTACTTTTGAAGTCTTAGAGTACGAACTCCTTGGGTCCTTGCTCTATGGTGCAACTGTATCGCAGACCTTCAAATCTTATCTAACTTAAAACAGGCAGCTGGGAAATTAGAAAAAACGAGAAAACTCCAAAGCACACAAGACTTTGTTTAGTGTTTCTCAATTTGTAATGGCATTCATGAGAAGTAAAAAAAACCAAGGAAATCAACGGATCCGAGGAAAAGTTGCATGCCTGTTATAAGCATATAAATGGTTCCACACTTCCAGATTTAGATTTTCTTTGGCAATGTACACCTGTAAAGTATGTACGTCGTCTCGGAAGTTCACGTTGAAGTCATCAAATTGAGTTCGTTTTCAGAGTTCCTGGTGCAGGAAGTTATGACTGCTAAAATACTTCCTCCCTTTGGCAATGTATACGTGTTTGTTTTTAGATGGGTCTTTTTTCAGGGCGGGGTGGGGGGGGGGGGGGAGGGAACTGGGCCAGGGTTGGCGAGTGCGGCTTGGGTGTTTGAGATAGCAATTGTAAGACTGACATTGAAATTTGAATTTACCACTGTGCACGGTATGTATACGTGTATGAGTTGTTTATAGTGGAATCTTATTGCCAGACAGATGTGCGGATCTAGGCCTTACACTTACAAAGTACAATTGTGCTTATTTTTCTCTTCAAATCCTATTTATTAATACAATTGTGTTAAACACATGTTACATGATGGTATAGTTCAGAAATCAGACCAGAGATTTGGACCATGGCAGGGCCATTGGCACAGTCTCACAGAAACTTCAAAGTCCAAGTGATACTGATAGCACAACATACGGTACAGTGCGAAGCAATATGGCGGCCAACGATCGCGCTGCCATGAAAAAAAATCTGTCGTCATGAATGAAGTTAACCCTAAAGCTTATAAAAAATCTCTTTTAGTCTACCGGTATCTTTTACAGTTCTATGCCTATTTTTGTCAATGAAGAATGTGTTTTGGATGTAATGACAGTGTGTTTATGGTAACAACAAGGTATAACCCCTAGTTAGTGTCTCCCAAAACTTTGTTTAGCCTTTAGGAGTATACAAAAGGAGTGAACATGTCCAAAAAAGCTAATGACACACCAAATGGAGGCCATACTGACCACAATCCCACATACAACTGTATAATGTACCAGGTGGTTATTGCATAACACATTAACTATTCAGCCATCCACAACTACCCTTGGCCATAATTGTTTAATTTGGATAATACATTGTGCAACCCTGGACCCCCTGGCTGGCCAGTTGTGGTCACAATTCACAAAGGTTAATCCCTTACAAAGGACTGGGGTCATTCAGGATTTAATCTTAAAGGGAAAATACAACATTTGCAAACATCAAAAAATAAAACTACCAAATCATTTTGAAATACCTTGCTGGACTGTTAGTGAATGACAGTGTAAAGCATCCTGTAAAATCATGGCACCTGGTATACTGTCATTTTCAAGAAAAGTGGTATTTTTGTATCAATTTCCAACGCTGATCGGCCGATCAGCGTTGAAAAAAAACTGGCTTTTTTTCAAATACTGGCCCCAGTTGACCATCGCACTTATTTGCAATCGATTACACACCTATGAACGGGTACAAGCCAGCTAGACTGGTTCCCTGACCTTACAATTCCCCAATATATGTAAACTGCTCTGTTTCTTCTTAAATGGAGTCAGGGAACCAGACTACAGGAAAATGATTGTTTTTCTTGGTTTTTATAGCATTTTCGAACCCAAAACCTCAAAAAAGTCAGTGTAACTATATTTGCTATATATTTCCAACCCCCCAATTCCATCCATTTCTGAAAATTACAGCAAAAGCAAATGATGTATATTCCCTTTAAGCTGCAACCTATCTCTAATGATTGGAATTTGGGGATGCAGGGATGGACAAAGGAGAATTCAAAGTAGATTCTGGAGTCCATAGAACAAGATCAATTCAGGGAAAAGAAAAACAAACTGACTTAGTCCCTAATGTCCTGGAATACCAAACTGTTGTTATTGATGGTTTTTGTAGAATCACACAATGGCATTATTTGATTGTCTCCTAAGACTTAAAATACCATTGCCCACAATACATGTTCAATCCGTATGTGGTTAACAAACATGTACTGGCACATGTACAAACTTTTACACTAAAGATGCATGTTTAGGCCAAGTAAAGATATCGCCTCCCCCCCCTCCTTTTTGCCACCGCCTCTTTAAAAAGCAAAAATTATTCATACAGTTGCATTGTATTGTGTCTTCTTATGCGTTTCCAGCAAAAATGCACATATGCAAGTTCAAAATCTGGTAGAATTACTAGAAAGGGTCGAAGGCTCTCTCTCGCACAAAAGTATTGACAAACGAGTTACCGGTAAAATTGAAGAAAGAATTCATTTTGGAAAATCTGCCATGTTGAACAAAATTTCTTTAAATAAAACTTACCTTGCTTTTATGTGGAAACAATATTGTTCAGTCATCCTGATAGCTGGCCGAAGCACTTATGATCATGGTAGTGTTCCTTTGGGACAACGAAAATGATAGAGGTGTTTTGAGTCAAAACTTCTGGAGACATTACTGACTTCATCTTTACTTCACTAAATGCATGCATCTTGCTCTCAAACCCACACAGCATCATAGCTTTGTGCATCAGTTACTGTACCATTCATACTGCTTGCTCTACTGTGCATATTGTAATTATAGCTATCACATTCAGTGATCACGTACATGTCAATAATAGCACTTCGCTCGTCAAGCTTGAATACACAGGCTAAAAGGGTCTTTACAAACTTCAGCTACACCAGTACAGACTGTGCTAATAACCAGATTATCTATCCAACTGGATTACGCAACAAGAGTCCAAAAGAGATTAAGGGTGTACGCCAGTAAATAGGCCTAAACCAATCCACCAAGCTCGTGAATTAAAGTTATACTGCAAAATACTTTGTACTAGAGAGGCTCTGAGAGCCATGAAATTGGGGAATTGAAGAGAAAAGGCAATGAACCTCTTGCCCGGATTTGGGGCTTATAATTCTGAGCATTTTGGATGCAGTTGGGCTCGAAAGTGTCACTTTTTTTGCCATGTTGTGGAGGGATCATTTTTCAAGATGGCTACTTTTCCGCTTTGGGAAAAATAGGGGTTGTCCACTTTGGGTGCACTGAGCGTGAGACTCGGGCATTTTAAGGTTAAATGCACATCCCCGCACGCTCATGCCCATGCAGGATTTCTTGAATAAATAAAACTTGAAAATTATGTTAAATCTTTTGCTCAATAAAGTTGGTTAATGTGGTCAGAAATTGCCTCAGATCACACCAGACAGCGTCTAGAGTCTAACTCTTTTCCAGGCCCTTATTAAAGTGGGCCCTGAACCCGCTGTACATGAACCTTACTGGCAAAGTGGTATTTCTGATTCAATGCCATCCCACATACACATGTTCTTGCAAAGTTCAGGCAGAGGTCTTTGGCCTCAGTCCCTCAGAACATGCTCAGAACATCTTATTTTTGTGTGTCTCAACTTGCCATTGCATCTTGATGAAATGTGGCAGCTGATGGGGCGCTTCAAGGACATGTACATGTGCAAAATGCATTGAGGCATTCCCATTAATGTTAAAGCCAGCCAACTTTTACACAACAAACATGAGTTCACATGCATGCATTGACCCTCACTGAACCTATGATGCATGACTTTTCAATGTGTTAGAGGAAAAGGATGTGAAGCCAGCATCAATGGCTGCCAAACACTGAGCTCTTGAGGTGCCATCCAAGACTTTGCTTGTACATAAAAGTATGTTTTCTATCTCAGGTTAATTTTGGATAGATCCATATCTCCTTGATAAGATTACATCTTGAGATAAGTTTATCACAGGGTGCCAACATCCAAGAATGTCGCACATTCCATGATAGAATTCAAAGGATGTGGTTATCCTACTTTCAGGATGACTGCATCTTGTGTCAAGTTATCTCAACATGATTGTCATCATCTTGTCCATCAAAGCCATGTTCCCACTGGTTTTTTTCCCCACGGCCATGCAGAAACTCACCATGACATTCCTTCAAGCAAGTCTACCCATGCATCCGTGCATACGCACTCAGACTTTCTTTCACACCGAAAGAGCGTTTATTGTGAACGTGATTGACTGACAGAATGTCCCTGACAACTTACATGTACTTAGCATGGCTGCGCAGAATGCAGTAAACTCCGGCTAAACCGACATCGTACAACTCGTCAAATTGCTCAAGTCGGCTGTCGGACTAAAGTCCTGATTGTCCGTAATGCATTTCCATTGAATTTTTTATTTCTAAGTCGGCTTTTATAAGTCGCCATTTTGCTCAAGTCTTCGTGTTACTCTCGGTCCCCTTTCCATAAAAAGCATTACAAAATCCTGCGTGTAAGTCGGCATTCAACAAATTTCCAAAAAAATAAAAGCTGGCAGTCAACAACTTAACAAGTCCTTCACATGAAAAGTTTTGAGAAAATTACTAACAGAGAAAACACATAGATGTACATGATGTGCCGGGTACATGGCATTTTGGCTATGAAACTCTCCTGTAGTTAGACCATTCAAAACACCTCAAAATCTGGGTGCTGGCAAATTGGAGGGAAAAAAATGCTGGACCTTTTAAAATCCTCCAGAATTTATTGTTACTGCACTACCACACCTTTCAATTCCTTTCGAAAAGGTATTGAAATGCAACTAACTGAATTTGCCCACAGAGTTGCTTCACCTTTCGAAACCTTTGGAAAAGTCAAAAAGTTCCAGCACTATTTCACCTTTCAAAACCCCTTTGGTCAGGCAAATTAAAATGTTTTGAAAGGTCTGATTACTCTCTTTGCCAACTGACTGGGCATAGCAGGGTTACAAAATCTGTATGACGGTTTGAAGTTTTATTTGGTGGCTGTTGATATGCAAATAATAGAGCAAGGAATGCCTGAGAATCTGTTGAGCTCATTATACTGTGAAACTGAAAGTATCTTCAAAATCTGCCTAGATCAGCATTATTTCTTAATGTATACCATAGAGAAAGTATACAATTACCCATCCATTCCATCCCACTAAGAGATTCACTCAAGGACCCACCACACACAGCTGACCATATGAGTTTATTACTTGCCTAGAACTCAGAAGTAGGCCACAACAACCCACAAGGCAAGAAGTGCATTAACCAAGGTTGAAACTGAAAGACTTTTAAAACATTTTTAAAGGTGGGGACTTTAAAAATTGACAAAATTCCAACAAGTTGGTTCAACAATTTTACTTCAAGTTCACATTTTGTGAAACACTGATCTCTGGCCATGTCCATGGGTAGGGTAGGGTCCCCATACTCATTATAGTGCTAAATATCTTGGCATTCACGCAGCATGTAGTGTTTTTTTTTACCCGCGGTTTAAAACCACCCATGTGACAGGCTCTCAACCAATAGGAATGGTTGTACTGTCTCAGGTATTAATGAATGGAGGTTTACACTCAGTAGAGTTGAGGTTTACAACTTTAATACCAGTGTGTGTAGAGGTTTATTCAACTGGCACGAGCTGTTTATTTTACAGTAAAGAATTACATTCATAAAGATCAAAAGTTCAATGCACCAGGCCAGAGGCTACAGTTTGTCCACAGCACAATGTACATATTTATATTGCATATAATCAGTGCAGCTGGGTATCAAAGATTTATCAGATAAACTCAGTCCTTCATAAACCATTGCCCAATGTGTACACAATACACATTGGGGCCCCTCATTATTTGATAAACTAAATCTCAACACTCTGAAATCTTATCAATCACTTCCACAGTCCCACAGAAGCACCTTTCTACTGTAAAATGGTCATTCTATAAATATGGGTCCACTTTGCCCTGTTACATCTGACACTTAGGCCTATGATGCTGATGTGCTCATTAAATAATGCAGTCATCCTCATATAGAGTGTTAATGAATAGAAAACTATTGTGCATACAACAAATAAAATATTGTTTAAAGTCATTCTTAATCATTAATGATGGAAATTACAAAGTCACCAGGTACTTCATTAAAACACCACTATAATAAGGAACCACGGTGGGGTCCATATGTAAAAAATGTTCGTTATAGAGGTCGTTTGTTATAGTGATTTTGTACTATAATAGAATTCATTATATTTATACCAGTAACCGACATACAGAATGTTTGTCATTTGATTGGTAGAACTCACATAACGTGACGTGCATTATTAATATTACCCCCATTCACGCCAGGACTAAAAAAGTCCTTTTGCCCATGGAGCGGGGAATGGGAAATACTATTGAACAGTTAGGATCAATGCTTGTTCCATGACGCGGTATTTGTGTGCAAAGGCATGCTGGTGTGCGCGTTCAAGCATTGCGCGTAGCACGTATTGTTCCAAAGAGCCATTATTGTTCCATTTTCGTGATGGGGTGGTTTGGAAGAGAGAAACACATTTTCCACCAATTTTGTATTGAAACAAAAGATCCAGTATATCAAATGACAAGGATTTACATGTATGTCAGTTGAGTTGCTTTAAATTGTGAAACGGGAGGAATGTTACTGCTCGGTAACATCTGGACTTATATGACCTTGCGATAATATTCAGACTCCCATTTGAGCCACTCAATATTTGTATACTATTGGGGCATCAAACGGGTTATGTTCATTTTAGCCAGATGTTCATTATATCGGGTTAGGGACAAAAAAAAATGTTACATTTTGGACCCTAAATTAATAGAATAACATACTGTCCCTCCTTATTCTACCTATTTCAGGGAATGTACATCATTGGCTTTAGCTGTAAGTTTCAGAAATGAACTATTTGAAGTGTTAGTATTAATAATAGATCAAAAATTGTTACACTGACATGTTTGAAGTTTTGTGTTCGAAAATGCTAGAAAAAACAAGAAAAACAAAAATGTTCAAGTAGTCTGGTTCCCTGACTCCGCTAAAGATGAAATGATCAATTTACAGATGCCGGAAAATTGTAAGGTAAGGGAACCAGTCTAGCTGGCCTGCACCCGTTCATACCAATAGCAAAAATTTTGTGCTGAAAAAAGTAGTAAATTTGGAGCAGTACCGGTAGTTGAAAAATGTTTTTGGAAATGTATACAAAAATACCATTTTCTTGAAAATGACTTCACACCAGGTGCCATAATTTTACAGGATACTTTAGACTGTCATTTACCAACATCCTAGTAAGATATTTCGTAAAAACTTTCTAGTTTTATTTTCGATGTTTGCAAATGTTGTATATTCCCTTTAACTATGGTACCACCTAAGGCCAAAAAAAAATATGTTTCTCGTCCCCGCCCGCTTCCTTTTTGGAGGCCGCCTGGATTTTTTTATTATTGAAAAACGCAGTAAAAAAACCACCTAAAAAGTCAAATGCATCTGAAACTGTTCATTGTAGACCAATACAACTCTAAATGACACTGTAAATTATGTTCAGTTCTCTTGTCCAACTTGTCTTTCATTTTAAAAGTGTCTTTGAACAGTGGAAACACCAACAGTTGCAGGAAATTTTAAACTGGCGGACATCTTGAAAAAAATTAAAAATAAAAAGCACCACTTCCTCCTTTTTTTTTTTAAAAACCCGGACGAGAAACATGTTGTTTTTTTATTCGGCCTAAAATTAACATTCCACTTTTCATGCAACAAGGATTGATAGGGATTACTGGCTGTACAGTCACAGACAGCAACAATTTTGTTGTGGCTATTCATTAGTTACTGGCTGTACAGTCACAGACAGCAACAATTTTGTTGTGGCTATTCATTAGTTACTGGCTGTACAGTCACAGACAGCAACAATTTTGTTGTGGCTATTCACTAGTTACTGGCTGTACAGTCACAGACAGCAACAATTTTGTTGTGGCTATTCATTAGTTACTGGCTGTACAGTCACAGACAGCAACAATTTTGTTGTGGCTATTCATTAGTTACTGGCTGTACAGTCACAGACAGCAACAATTTTGTTGTGGCTATTCATTAGTTACTGGCTGTACAGTCACAGACAGCAACAATTTTGTTGTGGCTATTCATTAGTTACTGGCTGTACAGTCACAGACAGCAACAATTTTGTTGTGGCTATTCATTAGTTACTGGCTGTACAGTCACAGACAGCAACAATTTTGTTGTGGCTATTCATTAGGCCAAAAAAAAAAAGTCTCTCTGGTATGCGAGCGCCTCACCGTAACCATGCGCGTCGGCAAAATGAAAAAGGTATTTTTTCAATGAAAGATGATGTCTCAAAACTGCCAAACTCACTGGTTTGTCTGGAATCCTGCTGCTGCACAATTTTAACGTGTTTTTGGATGGGGTTATGATCGAGAATAAGCTTTATGTGGCCTCTCTGGACTCCCATATATTTGCACTAAGTTTAGTCGGGCACCATTTGCAGTCATCAGCTGACATTTGAGGCAAAAAAAATCAGGTAAAAAAAAAAAAAGCCGCGTCGCCGCACCACTTTTTGGGCAAGCTCCATACCAGAAACCGGAGACTTTTTTTTTTGGGCCTTAGTTACTGGCTGCACAGACAGCAACAATTTTGTCATGGTTATTCCTCCCTAAATGTTATTAGTTACACCTACTGTAGGAGCTTTAACACAGTTGTCAGGGTAATTGATTGATACCAGCACTGCATCCAGCCAGTTTCCTTCCTCCATGCTCCACCATACAGGACAGGTATTCCCAGCGGTACATGGGAGTGAGAGGGGTTTATTGTTCCTGGAAATGGCCTTTGAGGTCTAGGGCAAATTTGTGACTGTCCAGAGAGCAGACAATGTGGCACCTAAGAAGCTTTGGCCCAATCATCCAACAAGAGGGACATACATGTACTCCCAAGCCTGTGGCTTCCCCTGTGGTCTGGTAGCTTATCACAGTGCTAATGTATTCCCTGGCTTGTGGGATGATTAATCCACCAAAGGAGTGCCATCTTGACCCCGCATTCTTGAAGGATGTGTGAGGCTCTCATGACTCCATGTGACAAACTACACATGGCGCCCTACATGTAACTCCCCACACCACAGCTAACATTAGATTTGCAGTTCAATGCTTTCCAGTGTCACTGAAAACTCCATTATCTGGTCCACTCATTGAAGTTTTACACTTGAATGGACATCCATGAACGCACTTCCACGTTCTTCAAGTTCAACCTTTCTTAACCTCCTGGCTAAATTATTTTTGGTTGCCTCATTACCGGACACACTCTGGCAGGGAAAGTGATGGACTTTTTGACTGTCTGTGACTGTTCAAACAGTAGGAGAGTTAACACAGTCCATCATGCTTGTAACCTGTGTAAAGTAGAGCTGCCCATAAACTGCAATCTTTTCAGATGTCAGCAGCTGCTCCAAATCAGGACCAGATATCCCCTCTGGACTGCTGGACCAAGGCCAGCCATTATTATGTGCTGATCTAGTGGTTTTTTTAAAGTCCAGACAGACCAGTGGTCTAGTTGTTTATCCCATGTTAATTCCCATTTGACCATATAGTTCAATAGCCAGGTCACAGGAGGCAATTACAGGCATATTGTTTAAGGCAATCTCCAACAGTAAAAAAACAAGAACACAGCTTGTCAATTCCCTTTTGATATTCTCAGGAAAACTTAAAACTTGCTTTGATCATTTCTGAAGGGGGAGGGGGCAATTGCCCTAAAAACAGGGCTGTAAATGGCTCTTTTTAAAGTGGTGGCGGCAATGATACCCTAGCTCCCTTGGCATTCAGGGTGGATCCAGGAATTTTTGCAGGGGAGGGGGGGGGGGTGGAGGGGTCAGGCCTGTCAGATTTGTTTATGTCCGATTGTTGTGGACAGAGGGGAGGGGAGGGGTGTTTCTCCCCTCCCCCCCCCCCCCCCATATCGAGCCTGGCTTTTTTTACTACGATACAACCTCAATTCTGCAGAATCCTCCAACTGCATCCATGTAAAAATTGCATATCTTGCAAAATCCTCCATTTTTTTCACTTGAAATTGAATGTGGCCAAGTTTTAGGGGATCGATCCTGTAAAATACAGCAGCAATCACTGTCAATACATGAATATTCAGCCAGTGACATCCTGGAGCAGTGTGGAGGATTTCGGATTCAAGTACATCATGTATATTAAATCTTGGCCCAAATTAAATGCACGCTGAGCATCCATGTATCACTTAAGGTCCTGCCCAAGACCTTGACACAGTGCAGCCTCCAAAATTAGCAAGTTTTTTTTCCATGTAGCCTCAATACTGAAAAATCCTCCATTTTGTACAGAAGATTTTTGAGAACTTGGGTAGGTTATGACAAGACCAATGTTGCTTGCTGTGTCAATCATGGCTATGAAGTGAAATTTGGATGTGAACAATTTCTCTGATCATGTGACTTACAAAATTGACTTACGTAGACTTTGTACCTAACTAAAGAAGTGGCTTCTGGATAGTATACATTCTGTCCAAAACTACTTAATATTTAGCCAAGGAAGGAAAATCAAAAGGCAAGAAAGGTCAAAATAATAACAAAATCAATGTGCATTTTATATTCCGATACCCTCGAGAAGAATGTCAACATCACTAGACTGGTCAGTCATTGTCAGTGTCAAACATTCTCCAAATTTCCTCAAAAATTTAAATTACAGGATAAATGGACATGATATTGTTGAGATGAGATAGCTTGAGCAACTCCAACTTAACAACCTGTGAATTCCTGACGTGATGAGCTTGCAGCTGGAGTTACTCAAGCTAGAGTAGAGATGAGAGACGTCCAGAGGTACGGGTACGGAATTATTTTCTATTTTCGAAATAGTGGGACCAGTCAAGCATGTCAAGTGTGTTCAACTTAAAATAATAATAGTTGTGCCTTTCTCTAATTCTACCCCATGCCTAGCTCTATACTATGCACTACTCACTATAGCAAGTAGCACAGGCTTCATTTCATAGAATTCTGACAGCTCTGTCTTCATACAGTCAGTACGTACATCGCGTGTATGCGCTGCAGCATGCACCGTTCACGGCACACTGTGCAACTTCGCTGCATGCACTTTCAAAGATAATTTTTAAGTAGGCCATGCCATGTAATGGTCTTGTTGTACTCCCAGTACTTACCACGTCGATGCGATCATAGAGGAAGGAACACAACGTCTTCTTGCGGCTATACTCAGTTGTCGAAAGAATCGTTTTTAAACTATCCCTGGTCGTTGAGAAATATGAAGAAGTTGTTGCTCAGCTCCTTGCTCTACTGCATGGAATGTCAGACAAGTCGACCGTTGAGACAACTCGACTCGGGACAAGTCGACCGTTGAGACAACTCGACCGTTGAGACAAGTCGACCGTTGAGACAACTCGACTCGGGACAACTCGACCGTTGAGACAGCTAACGTGCACGGCACGTGCACGGTACGGCCACGCGGTTGACCGGAAATGCGCGCACAGGCCCGGCAAAAACGAACGATGTGCACGGACAATCACGCTGCGCTATATCGGCTCTGCTCTGTTACGTGTCATAACTCCCAAACGGCGATCAGCCGCCGTCAAAATCCCCGGTACTATCCCCAAAACTAGGCCCCAAAACATGCGAGGCGACTTGTCTCAACGGTCGACTTGTCTTTCCATTTATCGCACATACGGTCGAGTTGTCTCAACGGTCGAGTTGTCTCAACGGTCGACTTGTCCCGAGTCGAGTTGTCTCAACGGTCGACTTGTCTGACCCCCTACTGCATGCACTGGTGGTAGCTCGTGTTCGATTAATTCCCGATCCGATCCAGAACCCGCCGTACACGTCTTACGTGACTCACACGCACGGCGCATGCAAGGTTTGTATACAGCTGCTTGATTGTACGCAACGATGCGTATAATATTTTGGCCCACGCTGCGATAGCGCGTGGCGGGAAGAAAAGGCGGCAGGCACCACTGCAGTAGTACAGAGCGGTGGTGGTGCGTGGAATCAGGAGAGGTGGGGTTACCAGCTCCCCCTCGATGCTTGAATAAACATCAATAAACCACTCATCGACCAGTATTCCGAAACCCTCAAGACTGACCAGAAATTTGATGAAGCGGTGTACTTCTAAAAAATTCGGGTAATGCAGTTTGGGAAAATTTCACGACTCCCCAAAGACTTCGCACACAATTCACACCGAGAAAAGTGGCGTCAGGGCATGGAGCTAGGAACATGATCAGGGCATGGAGGAAGGAATAGATCAGGGCCAGCTTGAGAAACTCCAGCTCCAATGCTATTCGCGATGAGCATTGGACTTATATTCTTCCAATTTTAGCTCACACAAAATAAGCTTGATTGAATAATTATCGTTCCTCCGTCCTCATCCAGTGCAATTACCATGGAAACAATACTGGCCAATTAACCTTCAGGGTTCAACACGTTAACAGGTGTAATGCATTAAAACTATGCCCGAGGTTCATACACGCTACAATGTCTACACGTCACCCCTGTCATTCCATGGTCATTCCAAGTAGCCCGCCTACTACACATACCAAGATTGTGATCCATCGATCCAGTGTAGTCAGCAGTTAGTGGGGACATCAGCTTATCCCTCATAACGGCAGGCAAGGCCCCCTGCTGTACTCAGAAATATCACATAAATAAACTAAATGACCTGACGTCATATCCTGTCAGTGACCATCGTAAAGTTGCCCCTCTTGCTTTGACCATGGAGGAATAAGAACATGCTTTGACCATAGCTCCATGCTTTGATCGTGGTGGAGCACGGAGAAAGCTCCTCCATGGGTGGAGGAAGGATAACAAGAAACTTTCCCACATTTTCCCAAGAAGTGATCGGACATCACCAACATCGTTGAATCTGAATGCATGATTTTCAGATTCAAACCAGTACATCTGAATTATTGAACAAGTTGTCCATTTCACTTGAGTGTTTGCTGATACATGCGTACTCCACTTCAATATATTGAAAGCTTTTAAGTGGTCATTAAAATAAAATTAGAATAACATTAATTTTGTGGATGGTCACAATACTAAATCGCCAGACCATGTCCGAATGTTAAAAAGGCGATAAGTTGGGTCCAAGTTACTCGGACTATCACAATTCTAGGTTTATTTCGATGTGTTGAATAAACATCAATAAACCACTCATGACATGAGTCCCAAACCCTGGCTTTATTTTTAAAGCTTCTGTGGTTGCCCCTCACTATGCTAGGACCAACAAGTCTTGTGGTTGCCTGTAATAAATCGAGTAACTGGTCATCAAGGCCGGTCGGTCCATAAATCTAGTTAGAAATTCTTTCTCAAGATGTGGGCTGAGTTTTCATTATATACATGTAGTTTTTAACTTCACCAACAGGAGTTTTATTTCTTTGGGAGCGAAAAGTTTCAAAGAAATTTACTTGAGTCATTTTTTGAGGTCGGGCCGGTGCCCGACAGAAGGGCATATGAGCGTTCTGACGCAAAAAAAAAAAATTCATTTTCAAGAAAATTGCATTAAATTGGTTCCACTGTATGTTCCCCCGGGCGTAAATCCAATGTTCTCCCACACGTAATATAAATCGTACGAATTTGAAATTTGTCACACGTATGAATCATAAGTTTTGGATTAACCTGAATTAAATTTTGACGAAAAGGTTTAAATTTCATTAAAAAAGAGGCAGTTTTCTGCCCTTGGCTTCTGCAGGGCACACGATTTTGATTGGTCAGTTCGGAGAAAAGTGATGTGCATTTTATATTTTTTGGTTGGTCAGTTTTAAAGGGGAGAATATTATAATATGTACTGTACGGTAGCAGCTAGCCTATTTCAGGGTCTGTTTCTTACTCTATGGATAAAACCAGCCCCCCAGAGCTTTGATCTGGTGGAGTATTTTGTGATTACTGCAGGGTCCAGTGACGATCTACAGGAAAGTGGGGGTGTTAGTATGGTGTTAGGCAGTCCGCAAAATTATGAAAATCGTTCAGAAAAAAGTAGCACAAGCCTGCTCTCCCCCACGCACTCCCGATCCCCTCATTATCCCCTTCGACCCCCCCCCCCCCCCCCCCGAGCTAAAGACGGATCTACCCACAGCCTGGCCGGGTATACGGGTGCAGGCCAGTAAATCGGCCCGAAATTGCCTTCGCCTGTCTCGAACACCTTGGAGAGTTGTGAGTACTTTCCCCAAATTCCTGAAGTGGGAGCATTTAATTATCATTGGGGTCTATGGAAGTTTATCTACTGGTCAGCAACCATATAGGTATAAGGGTAGGTCAGATTCTGAATAAGTTACACAGACAACACAAAGTGAGTAATTTGACTCAATAGTAAAAATTGAGTCATTTTGTCCGTGTAGTGAGACACTTTGAGCCAAAGTGTGTCACTATACGGACAAAATGACTCACTTCTTACGATAATGAGTCTAATTACTCACTTTGTGTTTTCTGTGTAGGTCATTGAGCAAGGGTTAGGTCATGTTTGGAATGATGTATTTTCAAATGAAATACCCCACAATTCCATTTTAAAGCAATATACAAGCAATTTTATTTCATTTTCGGCCGCTGTTTTCCCATTTTGACAAACTTTTTATCACAATTACAGATGCACAGCACAATCGATAGAAAAAGCACACTGCAATCATTCACCCTGCAACTGCAGCCTCTGTTTGTTTGAACTAATACGGTTGAATAAAACTAAACAAATCTTCGTTTTTGAAAAATCACTAAAATTCAAAGCAATCCATACTAAAATATACCTGCAATATATGGGAAACACACAGGAATTTCCCTATTATGTGGTTAAAACATACGAAAATCGAATGGAGTTAAGAAGGCAATTAAACATAATTTATTTTAATGCTTAAAAACAACTTATTGCTTTTTTTTTTTAAAGATATGCTTAGGCAGGCATCGAAATGGAAAAACTGAACTCAAACACGTTTTCAAGGTAATAGATTAAAACAAGATAGCTTGACCGCCAAATCGGGATTATATCATTGCACAACACAAGAATTCCCACACCAAATTCAAAATTTGCAAATTTGACACAAAGCACTGCTCGTAGAATACTTGTTCCAGAGTTCTAAAGACTACACGTCTGACGTATAGTAGTTATTGCAGGGACAAAAGATGTTTTGAGGAAGGTGTTAATGCCCTATGCACAATCCAATCTGAATTTCCTAAAAATTAGAAAACTTCCCCACAATGCAGTCCCAGCCTTTGAAACCCAGCTTTGTTCAAATACAGAAAAACTTAACCGTGCATATTAATGGTACAGGGGCTGTATGTTAAGCCTTCCCATCCCCCCCTTTTAAAACTTTTTTTAACATTTAAGCTGACAGTTACCACTTAACCACGCACCGAACAACATACTACAAAGGTATATTTGCGTACCGTCTACACACTGACCACGATTGGCTCTATTGCTATTACATGCAACACTTCATCGAATACAAAATATGAGTAAATCTTATCAGTATTTTCCTTCTATATCACAAAAAAAGGTCCACAGATTCTACACAGCAGGTCATCAACAAGGCAAGTTTTTATAATTTTTTTTTTTTAGGATACTGAGTTTTAAAAATACATAAATAATCCATATCATTTACGACTTGGTACTATCCATAGCAAAACTTGGTTTTCTGCAATGTTTCTTCACATATAAGCCTCATTAAATATCAAAAACAGATAATTTTTAAGAGTTTCTGAATTATTCCTTTATCAGTAATGGCGGACGTGGTCTGATGCATCACAAGTAGTCTGAGTTGGGTCGCAAATTGTTCAAATGAACTGTAGCAAAGGCCATTTTTTCAATCCACGGTTAATTTTTTACTTGACTTGTGATAGACTTGACCCCACCACTGATCAGGAAGTTTTTTTCCTTAAAAACAAGGCCACTTTAGTACAAAGATTTGTACACATTCTTCAAATACGACACAGGTCTTTTCTATAAATTTAGGGTCCTTGGTGTGAGATTGTTCCTGTCCCCGTTACCATGGTACTTTGTAATTTGCCAATTCAAGTACCATTAAGAATGACTTCAAACAATGTTTTCTTTGTTGGGTAGGTAGTTTGCTATTCACAATCACTCTCTGAGGATGACTGCATTAAAGAGTGCATCAGAATGATAAAATTAAAGATGTCAGATGTAACAGGGACAGGAAAAAAAAGTGCACCCAAATTTATAGAATGACCGATATGGGTCCAATGCCTTACTCTAAGTACGGGAGTATCAACAATCAAATTCGAGACAATGTTGCCACCAATTTGAGACAACGTTGCCACGAAATTGCGACAATGTTGCCATGGATTAACTACCTTAGCTACATATAAATTACTGTGCTCATGACGGCTACTATGGGGAAAACAACGAAGTGTTTCGTCCGTTGAGTAGCCATTCAAGTAACACATTGGCTATGGCACATGTAGAAAGACCAGTCATATATATACCCACTACAAAACACAGATTTAATCCCTCCACAAACACATGCTTAACATTCAACACACTACTCAACAGAGATGTCTAACACCACACGAACGACAAATCACCGACAACATTTGAAACCTTCACATTATTTCATGCATGGTTTTAACAGACAATTTTTCTAAGCACATAATTGCAAATACCTACATTTTTACTTTCTAATCACCGCTAGAGACAATTCAAAATCCTGCTTTCTATTCTGTATGATTCATAAATCATATGAAAATGCAAATACATTACAACTACGGAACCGCTTCTAGATACAAAGTCTAAGAAAATGAAAACTCATCAATAAATGCATCATTAAGCATTCGATTATCATAATTCAATGAATTAAAAAAAAAAAAAGGATGCCATAACAATCCTGAGTGTTGTTATATAAGGCAAAAAAAATCTTCACTAAATGAAGAAACGGCAAAATCACCTTTGTGTTCATTGTATTGCCTGATGTTGCAAAAATTCATCTGCACCATGTACATATCGTGCCTCTATAAACCGTGCAACATAAAAATATATTTCACTGTCAACATTTTGCTCTCTGAAAACCTGAGAAACCCGATACAAGGCATCCATTGTTCCGCACTAAACAATCCTAGGGCATAGAAATTCACACTTTAAATTCACTTCCATTTCCCAGTGCAACAAAAGTCACATCGATAAACGGAAAAAAAATGTGTCCCTGAAGCATGAGTTAAGTTAAGGCAATGCTGTGCTCATTTATGCCACATGCTTTTCTAGAAAACCAAGTAAATAGTTTGATTTATCGATCTTATGAGTTGTAACTAAATAACCTACAAAAAAGTGATTAATCAAATAACTGAAAAGAGGTTTATACCTCTGGTTCTTTTCAGAACCATTCTCTTAGTTGAGAAATTATTCGCACATGGTGTTTCCGCAAACCTTTCATCATTTAGTATCTCCACCATGCAAAGCCTCAAATCTTACTTAAATAACTGAATAATCATTATGGGCCTAAGGAGGTTTACCTACACTAGCGTATCGGGGCAGGGGGAATGAAACAAAAAAAATAAGGCAACGTTTTTCAGAAGAATCAGCCATTTGCCCCGACCCTGAATTGAGAATCTGGTTATCAAGAGGCGGCTGTGAAGGCAGCCTAGTCTCTCTTGTATCTTGTGAACTCGATGAGCATCGCCGGCGAGCGGTAGAGGAAGATCAGCTTTGCCGTCAGGTCCTCTTCTAGTTTCAGCTCGCCGCACTCCCGCACCAGGAAGATGTCCAGGCACAGCTTGACGATGCGGTCCACGTTGGGCAGCTCGTTGAACATGATCTTGGTGGAGACGCCGCTGAACATCATGCGCACGAACCTGCCGACGACCAGGACTAGGGACACGTAGAGGCCGATGATGCTGTACACAGAGATTTAGAGTAAGAGTCATGCGTTAATAGTGTTGTAGTCGAGTCCATCACAATAATAATGTGTGGTGCTCATAAAGTGCTTCCCACCAAATGTTGGTCGTAAAGCACTACACAATTATTACCCCTGTTCACCAGGCCAGGAGACCACTTTTCTGCAGCCGAGATCAGTGCACCCTGGTTTCAAAGGCCATTTAAACTCCTGGGTGGAGAGAGGCAATAGTCGTAAAGTGTCTTGGGACACAAGTAACATCTTCCCTGTCGGGGTTCAAACTGCTGTGGGGTGCTGTGGTCCAGTGGTTACAGTGTTCGACTTGTGTACCGTGGTACGTGGGTTCGAATCCTGATGGGGAAATATGGTGCTTGTGCGCTTAGGCCAAAAAAAAAATTCCGGTTTCTGGTATGGAGCTTGTCCAAAAAGTGGTGCGGCGACGCGGCTTTTTTTTTTTTTTACCTGACTTTTTTTTTTTTTACCTGACTTTTTTGCTTCAAATGTCGGCTGGTGACTGCAAATGGCGCCCGACTAAACTTAGTGCAAATATATGGGAGTCCAGAGAGGCCACATAAAGCTTATTCTCGATCATAACCCCATCTAAAAACACGTTGAAATTGCGCAGCAGCAGAATTCCAGTCAAACCAGTGAGTTTGGCGGTTTTGAGGCATCATCTTTCATTGAAAAAAATACTTTTTCATTTTGCCGACGCGCATAGCTACGGCGACGTGCGCGCATACCAGAAACCGGAGACTTTTTTTTTTTGGCCTTAGGCAAGGCACTTTACTATGATTGCCTCTCTCCACACAGGTATAGTAAATGGGTACCTGGACCTGGTCTCAAAGGCCATTTATACTCCTGGGTGGAGAGAGGCAATAGTAGTATAGTGTCTTGGGACACAAGTACCATCTTCCCTGTCGGGGTTCGAACTCTTGTACCATGAAGATCAGCGTAACCTGGTCTCAAAGGCCATTAATACTCCTGGGTGGAGAGAGGCAATAGTAGAATAGTGTCTTAGGACACAAGTACCATCTTCCCCGTCGGGTTTCGAAATCTTGTACCATGGCACATGGGTCGAACACCATAATCACTGGACCATGGCACTCCATACGTCAATTCATGAGTCCAGTCACAAGTTAGCTCATAAGTCCGATTGCAAGAAACGGGGGAAGGGTAACGACAAACTGCTGTTCACTTAAGTAGCTTTGGAAGGCTTCCTTGGACTTACCCGTAACCAGCCAGGGGAGCAAACAGTTCTGACGCCACACGATCGTTGAGGGTGTAGATCACCATCTCATCTGAGTCCTTGTTGACTACCCACCATTCACGTTCCCCGCCCACATCGGCAATCGGTCCAGACTCAAGCTTCATGGTGATGTTGGTGAAACCGTCGGCATTGGGCGCTGAAAAGTACAAGGTTGGGAGGAAAGAGTGTTAGATCAGGTCTGTCATAAATCAATCAACAAGGCGACAGATGAACAATACTTTGCTTATGTAACGTTTTACACAAATGTCATGAAGTGCTTCCAAATCAGATCATAGATCAATTTTATGTATGCTCAGTTGTATACCCAAAACAGGCCCACCTGTTTATACCCCTTGGTTAAAGGTAATATACAACATTTGCAAACATCAAAAAAAAAAAAAACTAAGATATTATTATGAAATACCTTACTTGACTGTACGTGAATAAAAGTCTCAAGGATCCTGTGAAATCATGGCACCTGGTGTGCTGTCATTTTCAATATCAATTTCCAACGATGGCCGGCTGACCATCGTTGGAAAAAAAAAACCTTTTTTCTCTTCAAATACTGCCCCCAATTTACCAACTGTAGTTGGTCCACATTTTGTTTGCAATTAGTTACACGTCCGTGAACGGGTGCAAGCCGGCTAGTCTGGTTCCCTGACCTGACAACTCAGGTCAGTATACATTTTCAGTATCAATTTCCAATGATGGCCGGCTGACCATCGTTGGAAAAAACCCTTTTTTTTCTTCAAATACTGCCCCCAATTTACCAACTGTAGTTGGTCCACATTTTGTTTGCAATTGGTTACACGTCCGTGAACGGGTGCAAGCCGGCTAGTCTGGTTCCCTGACCTGACAACTCCCCCACGTCTACAAATTGCTCCGTTTCGTCTGAAGTAGGGTCAGGGAACCAGACTACAAGAACAACATTTTTTTCTTGGTTTTTCAAGCATCTATCTATGAACACAAAACTTTAAACAGGGTCAGTGTAACAATAATTGCTATAAAATACTAACCCCCAAATCCATCCGTTTCTAAAAAATTACAGCGAAAGCAAATGTTGTATATTACCTTTACACATGGTAAAGTCTCTTGCCCAAGAACACAAGCTAAATGAACATTGTCATGGGCCGATCTGAAGATGGGGGTTGGACTCCCCCCCCCCCCCCCCGACCAAAGTTAATTATTTACATAATGGAAAAATCCCAAATTTCCTTCAGCTCCCTGGAAAAAGTCATCGCTCAAATAATGTTCAATCTAATAATTCATTGCTTCAGGCATATGGTATGTGTAGGCATTGACTGCAACATCTCATTCATCAACCCCCCCCCCCCCCCCTTTCAGGCACGCAACTGGGAATTTAGAAAAAAAACTACAAGGACATTTCAAACAATACAAGACTTTGTAAAGTGTTTTTCAATTTGTATTGGCATTCATGAGAATCAAAAAAAACACGAGGAAATCAGCAGATCCGAGGAAAAGTTGCATGCCTGCCCTTTGAATCTTAAAACCTAAACACCTGGCCCATACCCCCCAGCCCCCCAAATCCTGGTATGCCACTGTTTTTTTTTAATCACAGACCACTGCACGTGAGTGGGACAGTTACCACTGACTGACGCAGAAAGATGAAGTCCAATAATGAGTATAATCATTCAACTTACACTCCAGAAGTTTGGTTGCTGGCTCAGCGTTGCCCTTGGCTGGGACCCTCAGGAATCCAGGATACACTCGAGGAATTGCCCTGAAAAAAAAAAAAAAAAATACAGGTAAAAGCTTTCATAAACATCTGGTATAATTCCACATCATAGAGCTGGTGAGGTGAAACTCTACAAGCTAACTCGAGTTGGAATCGAACCCGAGACATTCAGATGTCTTGACGCTTCACACCAAAGCTTGCCAACTTCACACAGATTTTTGGTAGTAATTTCAGGGATGCGTTTAAAGGCACACAGGATTTCCAATAATAACACCGCTCACAATCCGTATCAGTGGATATGATACTTTTTCGAGAAAACAGTGGAAAACCTTGCACATTTTGATCACAAAAGACAATTTCGTCGATAGCACTCTTTATTTCCTCATATCAGTCAAATCGGGCAATTCACAATGCAGTACGCCACCAAGAGTTTGTCACGGAGAGTTCATTTTTCACAGTGCATTGTGGGAGATGGTTGACAAATTCGCTGCGCGGGACATTTGAAATTGTTCGTTTTTCCGGTCAGTAGTTTTGTAAGCCTATGATTCGAGGCTCTGTTTGCCCCTTTCGTTTCTTGTTATCAATATGGTGTTTTTTTTGCAAGGCGGCAGAACGCTATGCCCAAATCTATAATAAATTAGCTCAAGTTGTCTACTGACACTCATTCAAATGGGCCGTGTTTTGTCGACCGTCAACTTGAAAAATGGACTATCCCTGGCAAACTCTTGGTGTCTGCGCGGCATTGTGAATCGCCTGAATTGACTGATCATTGGAAATCAGTTACGTTTCTTGATTTCTACTAAATGACAGCAACTTAGCCAGATGGAATAATTTTACTGAGTGTTTAGTACCAGTATGATCTTTAACCCACGTTAGATTTTTGATGATTCAGTAGGTTACTTTTGGGATTAATGCAAATCATCCTATATGTCTCCACAAGTCTGTCACAATCACCCAGTCAGGTGGCAAGCTATGGAGTACCGAAGTGAATACGTCGCGCGCACAAAATGTGTGTAAAAGACATTAGCGCGTGATTCAGCCCGTGAATCAACATGCACGCGTAACTCCATTCGTTTGCACTACACTTTCTGGTTCTAAATGACGTCACGCTTCGGTACTCCATTTGAATGAACTGTGATAATGACATCACTGTAGTCCTTCGTTGATGTCGGTGAGCTGATTGAGATTGACTCATGACAGAATTCACAACTGTTGAATAATTCAGCCTATTGTTAATGCTGCTCACTGGCTTTTGATGAATTCAAAAAGCTTTGAAGACTTCAACAAAATCTCTCGCTTTTTGTGTGGTTATTTTTTAGTCTACAGGACTATTTTAAACTTACGCTGTAGAGGAGGTGTTGGTGGCCAGTTGTTCAGCAAGCCCATCCCTTACTTTACGACCCTGTGGGTCCGTTGGGCTCAGAGGAATCTGGTGATAACCGTCTACTATGGGCGTCACTAAGGAACTATCGGTGGTCCTGAAAAAGCAAAACGACAGAAAATATGTTTCGTTATGATGACGATTGGCCTAAAAAAGGAATACATTCCTGTCTCTGGTTTAAATGATTCAGGATCCCAAAGAAATCTTAAAATGAAATTCCACGACTTTTCAAGGACTTTTGCAGGACAACATTAGGGTTTTCCATGACGACTTCTTACGCTAATTTGGCATCTTAGGACACAATTTCAAATAAACTGGTCAGTCGTCACACCGAGGTTAAGGGATGCCACTCCCTTTCAGCCTTCCAGTTTGACACAAGACCACTGCGCACCACAAAAGCATCACAAGTATGGAGTAGTAGGCATAAAGAGGGGATACAGTAACTTGCAATGCAAACTGGAACACTGCCATAGCCAAACACTATGCATCATCACGTACGAGTTGTGGAAGATGCCGGACTTTTCCATGACTCCTTGTAAAATAACAAAATTCCATGACTTTTCCATGACTCCTTGTAAAACAACAAAATTCCATGTTTTTTCCATGACTCCTTGTAAAACAACAAAATTCCATGACTTTTCCATGACTCCTTGTAAAACAACAAAATTCCATGACTTTTCCATGACTCCTTGTAAAACAACAAAATTCCATGACTTTTCCATGACTCCTTGTAAAACAACACAATTCCATGACTTTTCCATGACTCCTTGTAAAACAACACAATTCCATGACTTTTCCATGACTCCTTGTAAAACAACAAAATTCCATGACTTTTCCATGACTCCTTGTAAAACAACACAATTCCATGACTTTTCCATGACTCCTTGTAAAACAACAAAATTCCATGACTTTTCATGACTCCTTGTAAAACAACAAAATTCCATGTTTTTTCCATGACTCCTTGTAAAACAACAAAATTCCATGACTTTTCCATGACTCCTTGTAAAACAACAAAATGCCATGACTTTTCCATGACTCCTTGTAAAACAACAAAATTGCATGACTTTTCCATGACTCCTTGTAAAACAACAAAATTCCATGACTTTTCCATGACTCCTTGTAAAACAAAAAAATTCCATGACTTTTCCATGACTCCTTGTAAAACAACAAAATTCCATGACTTTTCCATGACTCCTTGTAAAACAACAAAATTCCATGACTTTTCCATGACTCCTTGTAAAATAACAAAATTCCATGACTTTTCCATGACTCCTTGTAAAACAACACAATTCCATGACTTTTCCATGACTCCTTGTAAAACAACAAAATTCCATGACTTTTCCATGACTCCTTGTAAAACAACAAAATTCCATGACTTTTCCATGACTCCTTGTAAAACAACAAAATTCCATGACTTTTCCATGACTCCTTGTAAAACAACAAAATTCCATGACTTTTCCATGACTCCTTGTAAAACAACAAAATTCCATGACTTTTCCATGACTCCTTGTAAAACAACAAAATTCCATGACTTTTCCATGACTCCTTGTAAAATAACAAAATTCCATGACTTTTCCATGACTCCTTGTAAAACAACAAAATTCCATGACTTTTCCATGACTCCTTGTAAAACAACAAAATTCCATGACTTTTCCATGACTCCTTGTAAAATAACAAAATTCCATGACTTTTCCATGACTCCTTGTAAAACAACCAAATTCCATGACTTTCCATGACAACGGGATTTTCCAGGATTTGTCCATACCTGTGGGAAACCTGATATTTAGTAAGTGGAGGAACAGGTCGATAGAGCGGTGCTCTCCTAAACTCACACCGCATGTTACTTGGGTTCGAATCCTGCCTGGGCCAACATGTGGATTGGAACTTCAGTCATTACCTGATTCTGTGGGTTTTCCCTGCAATGTCATTACAGGCATTTCTTCAAACCACAATAAGTCCGATACTGAACCAAATTTTTAAGATGGGAATATTTTTGTTGAAAAGGTGAATGATACTAGTTGTCTATAAAGTTTGATCTTCACTATTTCTGTCGCTTAAAGGGGGGGGGGGCAAGGGATCAACAGTTTGAGGGAAGGGGGAATGGGGGCGAGGCGAGGGGCATGGCCTTTCTGCCCCCCACCCACCCACAGCCTAAACAGTGACTGACCTTTTGACAGCATAGGAGTAACGGAAGTCTATTTTCGTCTGTTTAGACAGCAAAGTGTCTTCCAGACGTTGTCTGCTCGGAGGGCTGACATCCCAAGACGACGTGGATTCTCCGCTGATGGTCACCTTCACGATATCGTCTGCTCTGTAGTTTTTCAAAAATGTCAGCGCACTCTGTCAAATAAAACAGAGGAATAGCAAAGTAAGTGAGGGTTACTTTTTCTTATTAAACTTACGCGACCCCCTGGCATGCTGGCAGTGTTTATACAAGTTAGTTGGTAAGTACACTTTTCAGTTGACCTAACCAAAATCAACAATGTCCTCATGACCTCATTTGACCCCTCGATGACCTTTGACCTCAAATTTCTCAAGCCAGCTTAGGTCCCCCTACCCAAAGATTACTGCCACCAAGTTTGGTAGCGAGGGAAGTCTGACTTTTCATATGACAGCACTTCTCAGTTTACCTAACCAAAAACAATGAACTCTTTTGACCCCTAGATGACCTTTGACCTCTAATGTCTCACATCGTCTGAGGTCCCCCACCCAAAGATTATTGTCACCAAGTTTGGTTGAGATTGAATTCTGACTTTTCATATGACAGCACTAAACAGTTAACCTAACCAACGTGGAACGGACACACATACACACAGCAGGAATACACTATCGCAAAATCCCCCTTTCTCGGCTTAAGCCGGCGGGAATAAAAAGCAAACACATATCCTTGAAGGTCCATAAGAAAACAATCGCCAGGACACGAGAATTTTGTATAATGTCTTACCAGATCACCGCTGAAGTCATTGACCAAACCATCATACTCGTTCTGATTGAGTGTGTGGAGGTTTTGATCCAGTGCTGTGGTTTCAAACAACGGCTGCAACAGAAGGAAATAAATAAATTAGTAAATAAATTCTGGGGGGCCGGGGAGCTAACTATTCTTACTCCAGTAAAACAGCTGAATTGTTAAGGACGCAGCTACAACTTGGACGAGCCGAAGACATGTAAAGGTGCCTTAGGTAGCCATCCTACAACCCATGTCTTACCACGTAGTACAGCAACATCAAAAGTGTTGATTTTTGAAGAGGGAGGAACACCAGAGAACCCGGAAAAAAACCCTCGTGGCACGGGAGAGAATGAACACACATCTCTACTCACATATGACCCGAGCCGGGAATCGAACCCGAGCCACACCGGTGAGAGACGAGCACTTTACGCACGACGCCATCCATGCCGCCAATAAGGAGGGAACTCTCTTCGGTGAGAGGTGAACGCTTTATGTACGACGCCATCCATGCCACCAATAAGGAGGGAACTCTCTTCGGTGAGAGGTGAGCGCTTTACGCACGACACCATCCATGCCACCAATAAGAAGGGAACTCTCTTCAGTGAGAGGTGAGCGCTCTACGCACGACACCATCCATGCCGCCAATAAGGAGGGAACTCTCTTCAGTGAGAGGTGAGCGCTTTACGCACGACGCCATCCATGCCCCCAATAAGGAGGGAACTCTCTTCAGTGAGAGGCGAGCGCTTACGCACGACGCCATCCATGCCACCAATAAGGAGGGAACTCTCTTCAGTGAGAGGTGAGCGCTTTACGCACGACGCCATCCATGCCACCAATAAGGAGGGAACTCTCTTCAGTGAGAGGCGAGCGCTTACGCACGACGCCATCCATGCCACCAATAAGGAGGGAACTCTCTTCAGTGAGAGGTGAGCGCTTTACGCACGACGCCATCCATGCCACCAATAAGGAGGGAACTCTCTTCAGTGAGAGGAGAGCGCTTTACGCACGACGCCATCCATGCCACCAATAAGGAGGGAACTCTCTTCAGTGAGAGGAGAGCGCTTTACGCACAACGCCATTCATGCCACCAATAAGGAGGGAACTCTCTTCAGTGAGAGGCGAGCGCTTACGCACGACGCCATCCAAGCCACCGATAAGAAGGGAACTCTCTTCGGTGAGAGGTGAGCGCTTTACGCACGACGCCATCCATGCCCCCAATAAGGAGGGAACTCTCTTCAGTGAGAGGTGAGCGCTTTACGCACGACGCCATCCATGCCACCAATAAGGAGGGAACTCTCTTCAGTGAGAGGTGAGCGCTTACGCACGATGCCATCCATGCCACCAATAAGGAGGGAACTCTCTTCGGTGAGAGGTGAGCGCTCTACGCATGACGCCATCCATGCCGCCAATAAGGAGGGAACTCTCTTCGGTGAGAGGTGAGCGCTTTACGCACGATGCCATCCATGCCCCCAATAAGGAGGGAACTCTCTTCAGTGAGAGGTGAGCGCTCTACGCACGACACCATCCATGCCGCCAATAAGGAGGGAACTCTCTTCAGTGAGAGGTGAGCGCTTTACGCACGACGCCATCCATGCCCCCAATAAGGAGGGAACTCTCTTCAGTGAGAGGCGAGCGCTTACGCACGACGCCATCCATGCCACCAATAAGGAGGGAACTCTCTTCAGTGAGAGGTGAGCGCTTTACGCACGACGCCATCCATGCCACCAATAAGGAGGGAACTCTCTTCGGTGAGAGGTGGGCGCTTTACGCACGACGCCATCCATGCCACCAATAAGGAGGGAACTCTCTTCAGTGAGAGGTGAGCGCTTTACGCACGATGCCATCCATGCCACCGATAAGGAGGGAACTCTCTTCAGTGAGAGGTGGGCGCTTTACGCACGACGCCATCCATGCCACCGATAAGGAGGGAACTCTCTTCGGTGAGAGGCGAGCGCTTTACGCACGACGCCATCCATGCCACCAATAAGGAGGGAACTCTCTTCGGTGAGAGGTGGGCGCTTTACGCACGACGCCATCCATGCCACCAATAAAAAGGGAACTCTCTTCAGTGAGAGGTGAACGCTTTACGCACGACGCCATCCATGCCACCAGTAAGGGGAACTTATTAGACAGATGTTGATGGGAGCAATAGTGGGCTAAGAATGCTTGGGGCGTTAGGCATGAACCAGACAACGTTGAGGACTCACCCCATAGCCACTGATGCTGATACTGATATCAATCTCGGAGGGCGGGTTAGCGATGCTCGAGGTGTTGGACAGCGAGATCAGGAGTAGAGGGAACCAGACAATGAGGATGAGGGCCAGGAGTTGGATCCCACCGGCTCCGTACTTGACCACTTTGCTCTTCAGAAGGCCGCGATCAACAGGATAGTTCTGTAGAAAAACAACAACAGAAACAATGAATATAATAAGTGATTTTAGTGAAATATGTGACCTGCCATATGGTAATGAGGAGCAACCCCCACCTTTAACTTTTCAAGTTACGTACATCATGTTAAAGCGCAAATCATTGGCTTTCCAATGGTACCAAAGTTATTTATGGAGCTTAATTTATTCCACAGATATGCCGCAGGAACTTCAACAGTGTCCCACCGAACTTCGCTGACCTCATTTCAAGCAAAATGGCTTTGAAAAAAGAAATATGCATTGCGCTGCCAACGGCAGTAGAAAACGTTCTTCAGTTTCCAACTTTTGGGGGTTTTTTTGGCTACAAAAATGCATAGTGTGCATCTTGGATACCTTAGCTACTCAAAAATAAGAAAAATCCAACATTGATTTGACTCAATTTTTTTTAGTGTATGCAACTTCAGGCGTTGATTACTCAAAACATGGTTTTGGGGGACATTCCTCATTTTGTCACGGTAGGTCACATATTACAACCATTTAAACAAAGTTTTATACAGTCATTAGATAACTTGTCAACAACTGGATAGACAAACTTCGAGTCAGGACCCTCAATGCTTAGGATGTATTAAATCGGGCTTAATTAAAGAGGTTGTGGAATGCTCGAAGACATTTCCGTCATTTTTCGGGTATATGTAGCCTAAGGTGTGATGAAATAAAAACGTCTATTGTTTCTGTCATAAAATGAGTACAAAAGGTTCTTTTGAGAGCTGTTTTTCAAGTCCTGTCATGCCTGTTTCGACCCGAACGTGCAATTTGTGTAAAAGTCGTTGTTGCGGGCAGCAAACAAAACACAGTAAATCGTGACGTAATAAACAGGACTCCCGATGCAGAGTAGCATAAACGAGTCCTGTTTATTACGTCCCGATTTACTGTGTTTTGTTTGCTGCCCGCAACGACGACTTTTACACAAATTGCACGTTCGGTTCGAAACAGGACCTGAAAAATAGCTCTCAAAAGTACCCTTTGTACTCATTTCATGACAGAAACAATAGTCGTTTTTATTTCATCACACCTTAGGCTACATATACTCAAAAAATGACGGAAATGTCTTCGAGCATTCCACAACCTCTTTAAAAAGCAGCTTAATTAACTGACCCTTTCAGCATTTCTCCAGCATTTTGTGGTGTAGACGTTGGAGTAGACGTCCTCCACTTCCACCCAGTGACTGAATGACAGGGTGGTGTCGGTGAACATCCAGTCCATCAACATACGGATCTCCTTCAGGAACGGGATGCCTTGGTAGCTGGCAAAGGGAAAGAAAGAGGGACGAGAAACAATGCAGACTGTGAAATCAGCCATGAAAACTAATCAGAAGCACGATTAGTTCTTCAACCCTCCTGCTGTCTGAACAGTCACCGACAGTCAAAATGTCTTCCACTGCCATTCCTTTATACACAGGCTGGTCTCCAACAGTCAGATCATATTTCAAGCAAGCACTCTGACTAGTCAAATTCTATCAACAGACAAAAGCAGGCAAGTTGTAAACACAGCTGGCTTATCAATCACCTAGAGTCAAAGCATAGATATATCGAGTCACATAAACAGTCACAGCCAGTTGATCCTGCTTTATGTAGTCAAAGTGGCTTCATGGTTTTGTAGTTATTTCAAATATAGTCAGGCAGACACTTTTTTGGGGGACGTAGTAGGATTACATGTATGTTTGATTGACTTCATTGTGGAAGACTTTCAATTTACAGGATCGTTAACTTCTACTCACCCGTAGAACAGGAACAAGTTGATGTAGTTGTAGCGTTTACACAAGCAGTTGCCCAGGATACGCGTCGGGTAACCGCAACGGATCTGGTAGGCTGACAGTCCAAAGTAGATGCACTTGACAAAGTACCATATCTGGGCTGGTACGTTACTGGTGAATCGGCTGCGTGAAAACGGTCAAATACGAATAAAATACTTTTTGAAGGGACATGAATTTTGTATATACAATACTTTTTCATAATATCTATTTTGTAATTATGGTTATGATTTTTTGGGGGAGGAGGGGGGAAATGAAAGGGTTTTACAAGGGTGGTCCAAAAAAAAAAAAAAAAACCAAACCGGAATGGCATACTTCAATACCCTCAGATTCAAATCACATAAACCAATGCATGGAGAATCTTTTTAGAAGAAAAATAAAACCAAGATCGCCCGATTCGGTTTTTGTTCTACAGCCTTTTTTGTGAAGCAAGGTGGGGGTCATTTTTGTACTAAACGGCGCCCGGGAAAACACCTTGTATGACGAAGCAGCTGCACTTTCTGTCAATGATGTCGTCACAATTTTGCTCATGAATAAAGAAACTCAAATCTTAATAAAAACTGAAAAAATGCCCCGTAAAACCCTAGGCAATGGTCAAGCAAAAAATGAAATCAGTTAAAATGGAACAGAGAGGTTTGATTCAAGAGTGCCATTACAAAATGTCTGACTGCATGGACACCTCAAATTGATCTTCACAAATTTTAAACAAACATCTTTAAAACTGGCAAATTCAGCCCTAGTTCCCAAAGACGTAAATCTACATCTGAGTTGTTTCTTTGATAACATGTATTTACTAATTTAAACTCTCCAAATTGCATCATTACAGTGCTAAAAATGGTCCAGGCCAGTAGGTTTGGGCTGCTAACGGGTGAAAAATTAAAGGGAAAATACAACATTTGCAAACATCAAAAAATAAAACTACCAAATCATTTTGAAATACCTTGCTGGACTGTTAGTGAATGACAGTGTAAAGCATCCTGTAAAATCATGGCACCTGGTATACTGTCATTTTCAAGAAAAGTGGTATTTTTGTATCAATTTCCAACGCTGATCGACTGATCAGCGTTGGAAACAACTGGCTTTTTTTTCAAATACTGGCCCCAATTGACCATGGCACTTGTTTGCAATCGATTACAAACCTATGAACGGGTACGAGCTAGCTAGACTGGTTCCCTGACCTTACAATTCCCCAATGTATGTAAACTGCTTTGTTTCTTCTTATATTGAGTCAGGGAACCAGACTACAGGAAAATGATTGTTTTTCTTGGTTTTTATAGCATTTTCGAACCCAAAACCTCAAAAAAATCAGTGTAACTATATTTGCTATATATTTCCAACCCCCCAATTCCATCCATTTCTGAAAATTACAGCAAAAGCAAATGAAGTATATTCCCTTTAACCAAAACAAATTAATAAAACAAACTTGGACAGCCGTACTTGTTGTTGATCTCTGGTAGCAGGAAGAACATCCAGACGTGCACGCTGATGATGACAACGATGAGAAAGATGAACTTGGCCACGACCGCCTTGCGAAGGTAAATGGCCCGATCGATGACCATCAAGACAAATTGAAGGAGGAGGAACAGAACAAAGAAGAGCGGGATGGAGTTGGAGGTGATCAGCTCGGTCACGTCGCTCTGTGCTTGCTCCTCCTAGAAAAGGGGAAAAAGAAGAAAGTTGTGTCAACTGATAGGCGTGGCAAACCGATAGAGCTGGGATTTACACCCAGACACAGTAAGTCAGTTTGTCGTCGACTCAAGAAGGCGTGGCTTGAGACGAGCACGATGCCTGACACGTCACGGTCGCCCATACAGCTGGTCAGCTCTTCCTCGGTCTTGACTTCTTTGTCTTTCATCAGGACATTGATCATCGTCTTCGCTGGTCTCCCCTGGGACGGCTTGCCGTGAGAGGGCTCCCAAAGGATGGCCTTGTTTGCTAGCAGCTCAGGATGCCCATCCAGACATGTGGGCACGTGTGGTCTAGCGGTGGAGCATATCAGGATTCATGATCATGAGGTTGTGGATTCGAGCCCCATCATGGACATGCTTGTTGTGCCCTTGAGTAAGGCGCTTTACCTCAATAACTCCTCTTAACCCCGGTGTTAAATAGGTACCGGCATTATTCAATGCTGGGAAGGTAACAGACTCGCTGTGGAGGAGGTGTGGCGATCCCCCCACAGCAGCATGAGTCTGTCCCATTCGCTAATGAAAGAGAGATGGGCACTCCGTTCCTGTGAACACAGGTTCGTCTCCTTTAAAGCATCCAGACACCCAACCATAAAAAAGTGGATATCTGATCAAACTTTTTTTCTCAGTTTCACTCCTGAACACTGGTTTTGGGCAGAATCTGACACAGTGCTTTGAAAAAGACCACACATATCTTTATTGATCTACTACCGACAAAAATTCAAAACAGGCTTTTGCATCTAAGGAACTCTTCAATTTGTTATGAGTCTCCTTGCCGACTTACAAGCTCCCTAACAGAGAGGTTGCGGCAGTTTAATGTTTCAAGTTGTTTTTTTCTTCGCAGCCATGTAGGATGCAGCACAAGACGCTCACAGTCGGGATTTGGGAACACCTTAATTCTGAGTTAACTACAGTTCTGTGGGTACCAGAACATTCTAAGGTACCCTGTTAAAAAAAACCTACAAAAAAGGGTACACATTGATCTAAAGCCAGTTATATCCATACTCTGATGAAAAAAAATCTGTTTAATTTAAATTTAGAAACAGTTTAATCAAATTTTCAAATGCATGGTGTGCTACATCAAGATTTCTCAAGCTTATTAATAATAATAATAATAATTTGGGAGGCTAATCATCCTTACTCGCAGCTGGTATGCTGAATTGCGAAGGACGCGGCTACAACGTGGTTGGGCCGCTGGCACATAAAGGCGCCTATGGCTGCCGGCCACATCGACCCATATATGACCACGGAGCAAAGCCTGAGATCGAAAGTGTTTGATTTTTCCGGAGGGAGGAAAACCGGAGGGCCCGGAGAAAAACCCTCGTGGCACAGGAAAGAACCAACGCACAACTCTACTCACATGCGATCCGCGGCCAGGATTCGAACCGTGGTCACCTTGGTGAGAGGCGAGCGCTTTACGCACAAGCCACCCATTAGCCCCCCCCCCCCAAGACCCCAAAAACAATAATCAGTAAATTGAAATTGACAGACTTTGATTTTACAGATCTTAAGATGTTCAGTACTTACTCCGAAGGAATAAGAGAAGATGGCGAAGAGGATGAAGTTGAAGACATCACAGAGGAACATGGGGACATACACGTCGGTGACCGCAGTGTAGGTAGGGTCCAGCATGTTGTGATAGAAGTCAACGAAGGGTGCAAAAATGCTCCTGGAAATAAAAAAAAAAAAACACTATGCCAATAAATCAAGATTTTTGTCTTGTTCCGAATGCACTTCTGACATAAGGCCAAAAAAAAAAAGTCTCTGGTTTCTGGTATGCGCGCGCGTCGCCGTAGCCATGCGCGTCGGCAAAATTAAAAAGTTTTTTTCCAATGAAAGTTGATGTCTCAAAACCGCCAAACTCACTGGTTTGACTGGAATCCTGCTGCTGCACAATTTTGACGTGTTTTTAGATGGGGTTATGGTCGAGGATAAGCTTTATGTGGCCTCTCTGGACTCCCATATATTTGCACTAAGTTTAGTCGGGCACCATTTGCAGTCATCAGCCGACATTTGAAGCAAAAAAATCAGGTAAAAAAAAAAAAAAAGCCGCGTCGCCGCACCACTTTTTGGGCAAGCTCCATACCAGAAACCGGAGACTTTTTTTTTTTGGCCTAACAACATTGTAATGGTCCAGAGAGCCATTATCTTCAAAGCTGCAATACGCAGATGAAGTATGCGAGTACTGCCTGGCTCAATGCAACACCTACTTCCCTTGCTCAACTTGATTCCATTCAGAACAGAGCCAAGCATATCATCGGACTCTCTAAGAGATGAATACCCAGACCATCGTATCCATCCACTGAGTCACCGCAGGGCAGTAGGCGCAACAACCCTATTCCATCATATTTTTTATCAGGAGGCTCCAGAACTCCTGAGCCAGCTGATGCCAAGCAGGTATTTTCCAGATCCCAGGCACAACCTGGCAGTTAAGGTACCCAGTCAGCGACGGGCAAAACCCATATTTCAAAATTCTTCTCTCTGAAGCGAAATTCCAGTGTTTTAAGATAAAGGTTTCTTTAAATGTTTCTACCTCTTCTCTTTCTCTTCTGTTTCACTGTCTCCCTCAGCATCCTCCGATGCCTTGGTCTCATCTCCGTCCTTGGCAGTTGCTGCTCCCTCCTCCCCTGGAGATTTCTCTGCTTCTGCAGCTGCGGCCTCTGACTTCTCTGAAAATCAGCCCAACAAAAAATAAAAAGTGATCAAAATTGTCGGCAGGAAGCTTTTAGGATACAGGCCATGTACACTGCTTGCAATATTCTGCTCCTTGGTTTTATCAACTTACCGGTTTCCTTGTCGCCCTTGTCCTTTGACTTCTTCTTTTTCTTCTTCTTCTTCTTCTTTGCGTCTACATCATCCACTGAGGCGTCCCCATCGGTGATTGCCGGTTGCTCCTGGGCGTTAGGGTCTTCCAGGTTGGGCACCACCTGACTCTCCTGCCAAAGGCCGTGTCTCTGTGTGCATTCAAGATACTTAGAGTCAGGGTGCCAGATTTAAGCTCGCACATTTGCGACAACTTGCCAGAGCTGGAATCATTTCAGTTTACAAGTAACAAGGGGACGACAAAAAACCAAGGAATGCCTTTTGTTACAGTTTGCATGATTAGGCCAAAAAAAAAAAGTCTCCGGTTTCTGGTTTGCGCGCGCGTCGCCGTAGCCATGCGCGTCGGCAAAATGAAAACTTTTTTTTTCAATGAAAGATGATGTCCCAAAACTGCCAAACTCACTGGTTTGACTGGAATTCTGCTGCTGCACAATTTTAATGTGTTTTTAGGTGGGGTTATGGTCGAGAATAAGCTTTATGTGGCCTCTCTGGACTCCCAATCCCATATAGGCCTATTTGTACTAAGTTTAGTCGGGCACCATTTGCAGTCATCAGCCGACATTTGAAGCAAAAAAATCAGGTAAAAAAAAAAAAAAAGCCGCGTCGCCGCACCACTTTTGAGGCAAGCTCCATACCAGAAACCGGAGACTTTTTTTTTTGGCCTTAGCTTAAGACTGCACATAAGACTGCTCCAGAAGTATCCATGCACACTTTGAGGTATGGAGCACCCATTTCGTCTTGTAAAATGGCTTGCAGTTTGATAAATGGGACCAGATCAAAATGTTTTTTTGATTAACTAGTTCGCGCCAGGATTATTTTGACAAGAAACGGAACGAGGCGCGGGATTATTTTTAACTCGACCTCAAGCCAGGTGAGTTGAAGCCATCACCCTCGGGCAGCACACTCATATTTCCAGCCTCGCTTGCTGCGAGCAGGTCGCTGATAAATATTATTTCTGGCCTCGCTCCCTGCGTGTTTATCCGTCATCCGTTCCGAATACCGCAAAACCTTTTGCGTGCATACACGTCATCCGGTGCGAACTGGTTAACATTCTCGATTTTTGGACATATGGCCACCATTTTTACATCACTTGACAAAGAAGGGTTGAAAGAACAAACTTCATAGTTTTGGTTTATTTTTTGGGGGGGTCTTTGCCTGACCAAAAACTGTAATACTGGGGAGAGCCAAGCCAATTGTACTGAGAGGGTCTAACCCAGAAAACGAATTATAAATCATTTGAAAAAAAAAAAATCCTGTACTTTGTGACTATTTCTCATCGGCACCTACCCTCAGGATGGAGCGGTGGAAGAACGCAGCCAGCAAGATGCAGAGATCCAAGACGGCGTAGGCATCCTTGCGATTGATGCCAAGGATGACGGGCCACCAGAGAGGGTTGCTCTCATTGAGTATTATCTCGTCATCCGTGTTCCAAGGATAGAAGTAGAACTGGAAGAAGTACTTCAAGATGACCACCAACTGCGAGAGGAGGAAGATGGCAAATGAAATCACGGTTTAGTCCTCTATTCAAGAGGATAAGGACTCTTCCAAATCCTTGCAAACGTAGAGAAGGCATTGGTGTAAGTGAAGACCAACTGGGGGGACTCAAGCCGAGATGCTGTGCGCATTCAGATAAAAGTTAGTTGCGGGAACCCCCGCGTAGGCAGCCTGTCCCACCCACAGAGATATTTTGGGTGGAAATGAAGCGCCATGTACTGTTCACGCATCATAAATGTGTTCCTATCGTGTCGTGTTTATCGTGTTCACAAGTTCACTAGTCGTATTATTATTTCATCGCCTGGTTACTCGTATTCACCAGTGGTGAACTGGAAGCAGATTTTCTTCTCGAGTTCACGACTTGACAAAAATACTAGCGGGGTCAGTGTGCATGAAGGCCTGGTGAGCAGCATCAGGATGCAACCCACTCGGGAACCAGGAGTAATTCACGGTGAACACGATAAACACGACGCGATTGGCATGCAGCAATAGTCCATAGTTAACCTACGTGTTAACACACCCTGTACCGCCCAGAAACACCCTAGCACTGTACGGTTTCAAGAATTTATCAGTGAATAAATACAATGTAACAACGTGTTCTGTCAAAACCTGATGCTTCTGGACAGAACTGGAAATGGAGGTTACAACCCACTCCCCAGCCCACCAAAAGAGATTTTTAATTGCGAATCTGAGATCTTAACCCTAACTCCCTAGACCTTTTTGCTAGGATGTAGCCTCAATCCTGCAAAATCCTCCAATTGGCCTCATGGAAAAATAGCATATAGCCTCAATCCTGCAAATTCCTCCGTTATTTCTTGAATATGGACCATGGAGGGGTGACCACTGCCTGAATCCTGCAAAATCCTCCGGCTATGTCTGTCAGTAGGCTGAGGCAGAGGCAGTGACATCCTGGAGCAGTGCGGAGGATGTCAAGTATAATCAAGGACTAAATTTATGCACGGCTGAGCATAAACAACACAAGGTCCGGCCCAAGACCTTGACACAGTGCGTACTCCAAAATCAGCAACGCACTTTTGCCATGTAACCTCAATCCTGCAAATTCTTCCAATTTGCAAAAAGGATTTTGGAGTATTCAGGGCGGTTAGGGTTAAATATGTGTAAATATACATCCAAAGAATCAGCTTTTGATTTGCCTCTAGTAGGAGTGTCAGATCAAGAAATGTATAACTAAAAACTTCTACAACAACCATGTTAAAAAAACCTATTTTTGATCAGCTGCCCATCGGAAGTCTTTTTTTTAAAACGGTACTGATTATAAATTGTGAAACTTTTTAAAAATTCACCTGTGTGAAGGTTATGACCGTGATCCAGAACCTCTTGGTCGGCCGCGGCACAGACAACATCGCCCAGGTGAAGATGAGGATCGGCAGCGGCAGCGACAGGAGATTGGCCGAGAGGAGCAAGTTGAGGATGATCAGGAAGTAGCAGACCAGCTGGGACTGGGAGATGATGGCGTAGAGCAAGGAGTAGAAGAAGCGGATCGGCCGGGGCATGGTGCGGACAAACTTCTCGCTGGAGGCCGTCTCGGCGGTGGAAGCCGTCTCTGCCTTGGCGACCGCATCTGTGTCGTCGCCCTGACTACGGGATGCAGAAGAATCAATTTGGATAGTGTGGTAATGAAACTGGACAAGAACGCAAGGGGTTTATCAAATCTTGTTTTTTTTTCTCCGGAGACAATGACCATGCTTGAAAAATCCCATGTTGACACACCGTGGACATCTTTGGTCTATTCCCCAATGACACTGTGCATATAATAATACAGTTTGTTGACACAATTGAGTTCACCTGACTATTGTCGGTCCTATCTTCATTCCCAGATTTTTCATTCTCCAATATACAGAGTTGCCACAGGGTCTGCTTGAAAAAAACGGATCTGTGTTTGCTTGAAAAAAAAAAAACAGAACGGCTGCTTGAAAAAAAACCCGGAACTTTTTGTGTGTGAAAAAGCCACTCCAAGTCCGAGTCCAACACAAAGTCCCCGTTGTCATCTTTATCTTGTAGCCAAGCCCAGTTTTGCTTCTATGGCCTTTAAGCTGTCGGTTCGTACACTGCGTTGTATACTGCGTGCAAGTAAGTTGGCCGCCTGTATCGCATGCAGGCTCGGCAACAACAAAGACTGTTTTTAAGACTACTTCAACGAACAACGTTGTACCGTGTGTGTGCCTAAATGTACTAAATTGAGAGCGCCAACGAAGTAAAAATCAACACATTTCCACAGTTTTTCTTGTCTTTTTCCGGCTTATTTTGACGGCCAGAAAACCAGAATTTTTGTGAGGTTTTTTTAAAAGCCGGAATTCCAGTTAAAACCGGAAAAGTGGCATCTCTGAATATATCTTAGATGGCCTTGAGGCCTACACTGATTAAGGCTAATCTTTGAATGAGCCGCTTAATAATTTAGAATCTTGTTCCGAGATCACTGAGAACAAGAATAAACTGGGACTTTTCCATTATTAAGAAGACTTTATGTCTACTGTAGTTTTGTCGCTTGGACTATTTGCGGCTTTAAACATGACATTGCCGAATACGATGATGTATGCTGTGCAATGATGACCAACATGCATAAAACTGACAAAAACGTCACACTGGATGAATGCAGAAGGGCAATTCCACGGTTACTCACGTTACATTTTTGATGTACTTTTGAGTTTCCTTGGGCTGTAACTACCTTACTGAAAAGGTTTAATAACTGTTATCCCCATGGTAGATAGAGTAGACCTAGACCTACCTAAGCACCAAAGATGACATCCAGAAAAAAAAAAGGTTATGTATGATAAACAAGACGCACAAAATCGGTTACTCACGTTACGAAAATGTAACGTGAGTAACCAATTTTGTGCATATTGTTTATCATTCATAACACATTTTTCTGGATGTCATCTTTGGTGCTTAGGTAGGTCTAGGTCTACTCTATCTACCATGGGGATAACAGTTATTAAACCTTTTCAGTATGGTAATTACAGCCCAAGGAAACTCCAAAGTACATCAAAAATGTAACGTGAGTAACCGTGGAATTGCCCAGCATGGTTTGTATGATTTATCAATTTATAATGAAAACAGAATCTTTTTCATCCAGACAATAAATATGCCTCAGACAATATGCTAAATGAACATAGTACAATGTGGGATATTTAACAAATGGAATACAAAATATCACACAAAAATACAGACAAGGTATAAAATAAATGAATGTGTTATATCCATATAAGTATGTATTTTATATAATAACATGTAGTTAACATACATTGATCATGCACTTAAGATGAAGTCTTGTGCATATTACATGCAGATTGCAAATAAGGAGTCATGCAAATTGCGCAGAGAAACGTTTAGAAAGTTACTTGGCTGTTGACATATAGTACATTACTTCCGTTCCTCTGACGTCAAGAATGATGGAAAATTGCCTGGTAAATGGAGCGTCTAAAAAAAAGCTGCTATGTTACATGCATCAAACATTCAAAACTTACCTGGGCTCTTTGTTATGCTAATCACTGCGATTACTACTCATGAATATTGATGAGTGATGATGCATATGAATGGCATGCAGATTCTCCCATCAGGGGAGGTGCAAAACAAAAAATAAAGCAGACTTGGTACCAGAAGTCCATTACATTACACAAAGCTTGCCGATCTCAACATCTCCCCCCCCCCAAAAAAAAATCCACTTGAAGAAATATTTTCTCGCTTTTTAAGCCATTAAGAATAGTCTAAATGTATTCCCCAAAATATCTCACATCAGCATTTTTAGCAAAGGGTATGTGTGCATGCATGTTAAGGTGCTTGTGTAATTTGTTGTTTAAAGGGAATATACATCATTTGCTTTTGCTGTAATTTTCAGAAATGGATGGGATTGGGGGGTTGGAAATATAAAGCAAATATAGTTACACTGACTTTTTGGAGGTTTTAGGTTCGAAAATGCTATAAAAACCAAGAAAAACGATCATTTTCCTGTAGTCTGGTTCCCTGACTCCATATAAGAAGAAACAGAGCAGTTTACATACATTGGGGAATTGTAAGGTCAGGGAACCAGTCTAGCTGGCTCGTACCCGTTCATAGGTTTGTAATCGATTGCAAACAAGTGCGATGGTCAATTGGGGCCAGTATTTGAAAAAAAAGCCAGTTGTTTCCAACGCTGATCGGCCGATCAGCGTTGGAAATTGATACAAAAATACCACTTTTCTTGAAAATGACAGTATACCAGGTGCCATAATTTTACAGGATGCTTTAGACTGTCATTTACCAACATCCTATTAAGGTATTTCGCAAAAACTTGGTAGTTTTATTTTTCGATGTTTGCAAATGTTGTATATTCCCTTTAATGCACAGCTGTTGATGATTTTAAACTATCTTTAGTCAGACCATCAACGGTCAGCCCTGTACATATTATTAAGAAAAAAATATTTTGAATTTTTTTGTTGAGCCAAATGTAATGGATACAACAGAATTAAATAATAATCTGGATGAAAAATTCGGTACACAGAAAAGCCCTGGAACGCTTTGTGTAAATGTTAATGGACTTCTGCTGGTACCCATGTCCCTGGTAACCAACCTTGGACCCCCACCGTCCTCGACATCGACGCCAGCATCCTCCACCTTGATTGACACTCTGAAGCCACACCCATCAGACAACAGAGACCACATTGCATCCATTATAAGTAGGGTGTCAGAAAACAGAAAGCCCGGAAGGTGCAGAAATGGATAGGCCATGCATGCAGAGAGGCATTTAGAAAGGATAGGGTACAGGGAGAGAGGGGCGGAGCAAAACGGGGAAAAAAGCAAGGCGTATTGTACAGAGTTAGTGGATTTTGTTAAAATTAGTGTTGAACTACTTTAAGCTGTTAAAAATGTTCACAAATTTGAGCGTTATGTAGTTTTCTGCAGCCATTAATGTTTTGTATACAATTGAGCTTCATTTGCACGTCGACCATTCATGTTGGTTCTTTTTATGGTCATGCTCAATACATTGACTATTTATGATCACTTTTGTGATTCGTTTGCCTGGTTTGTCAAGAGTGGATTGAAGACATTTCGTGTCCCTGTGTGCAGTTAAACATTCGGCTGTTAGGTTATTTGAGCTTTTGTGCACACAAGTCAACATAAATTTGAGATGACATCAATTGTGTGAAGTCTTTAAATTTTTAAAAGAAGTGCAAAAACGTTTAGTTTTTGTCCATGCAGTCAACATAAAATTGAGAGAACAGCAATTGTGTAAAGTGTTTAAGTTTAAAAAGAAGTGCATAATCTTAAACGACAATCATGCTTAAGCAATTCTGTAATACTCTCATTATAAATCAAAGGATTATGTAGTCTCATCAGAATTTATCCTGGTTTGAACTTAACAGGAAAGAGCATGCAATTTGGAAGCAAAAATTCAATCAAATGAAAGTTTTGAAGCATAGCATTCAAAATATCAAAATCCTATCCTCACTTTTGCCAGTCTAAGAAAGCATAAAGCAGTGCTGCCGATTCAGAAACCTTTTTTATTGGAAATAAAAGCTTCAACTTTGAGCACAGATTTCCTTGTTTTGAATTTCATTTTTTTTTTTAAAGAAATTTTAAATAAAAAATGCAACCAAACTCCATTCATGGTTAAGCATTGTGGGCCTATAATCATGTACATCTGGTAATTTTTTTTTTTTACCTCACAATCGTTAGGTTAAAAGAGACAATTGTTCAAATGTTCATATACAGCAAAAAAAATTAAGTTCAGAATAAGACTTACTTGGTTGGTTCATGGGGCTCGATCTCCTCAATCTCTCCTCCATCAGCCTCCCCAGCGGGCTTGATGGCCTTGGCTTTCTTCTGTGGATTGACGAGAAACATAATTGCAGATGGTACTGGTGTTCTGAACGCAGGTACTAAATAGCCTAAAGGTTGCAGACCAGTAAATAGACTTCTGAAGACCTCAATGATAACTACATGCACTTTTTTTTTTAAATATTAAAAATACTCACAACTCTCCAAGGTGTTTGAGCCACACATCAAATTAAAGCTTATTTCATCATCTTTCATTTTCTTTTCAATTTTTGGGGGGTTAACCGATAACTTTTAGGAGAAATTTCCATCCAAAGATGACTACCCCTACAAGCAGTCCTGAAGCCCATCGCCATTTTGAAAATGGACGCCTACACTCCATTGCAAAATAGATCAGTGTTAGGGCCCAATTTCACAGAAATACGAGCTGGCAGTCCTCTGCACGGCTTCCACCCTTCTTTCTTACAAATCATCAAGTTCACAGCCCTAAAAATGCTCTAATGCCGGAGAAATTTGAGGGCATGCATATCGTGATTTGGCCGGCATAGGCAATTTCAGGCGTATTTACTGGCCTGCACCCTTAGTAGCATTTGTTTGCTAAATCTGAACAAACGTCTGTTGAAGTGTGCTTACAAATTTCATGTGAGAACAGAAATCTATACATGAATCTAACCATTTCTACAAAATAAAACACGCATAAGATTAGCACTCTTTCTACTATAGCCCCCACACTTTTTCTGTTAACTGTTCAGCAGTGTCATGAAACTGGGCCTGTGAAGCCAAGATCAAGAAGTTTGTCAACATCAATTGACTAGAGGCACTTGTATTTGCGACTGTCTAATTCCTGTGTGTTCCTTTTACCTTGAGTGCTCTCTGTCTCTTGCCCTCGGTGCTGAGTTTGTCCAGTTCATGCGCCACGTAGCGATACTCCTCTGAGATCTCGTCAAAGAAATGGATGCAGCCCTCCAGTCCGCGCATGAGCACGCGCCACACCAGCTTGATGATGTTCAGGATCTTGTTGCAAATGCCGGCTGAAAAAAAAAACACCAACAAATAAACAGAACAATTCATAAGATGGATTTTTTTTGCGTCGGGGTGATGTAAATGAATATTAGGTTTTGCCCCTTCACCGACGAATCAACACTGTACACTCAATGTGTTACCTCCCGAGTGAAAATTGGAAAAAAATCACTCGGGTGGGACTCGAACCCATGACCTCCTGCTTATGAAAACTGTCATCTTATGAATTGTTAAATGCGGCACCCGCTGCAATGTACATCAGATTCGAGCCAGCCAACCGATCCCATAAGCTCGGTGGTCGAGTGGTAAGACCTCTGCACTAGCAAGCAGGAGGTCATGGGTTCGAGTCCCACCGAAGAGATTTTTTTTAACTATCATTCGGGAGGTAACACACTGAGTATACAGTGTTGATACGTCGGTGAAAGATAAAACCTTATATTGAAATAAACAAAAGAATCAACAGAAGAATCATTTGCAGATATAAAGGGCAAGCTTACACCAAACCATTGTAACATAAAGCAACAAATCGCGCGGTAGTTAATTTTTTTCACAACCTGACGTGAAATCACAAATTGTAAGCACTCAACACAATTATTAGCTCATGTTTTCAACAATGTGAGAGTCGATAAGCCTTTGACTCAATTTGTGTTGTCTTTTTTAAGAAGACACGTCGAGTTGAGTCAGTGACTTAAGTCAATTGCAATTCAGACTCAGTTGAATCACTGACTCGAGTCATTACATCTCTGCTTTTTACCTTTTTCCTCTTCGCCTTGTTCTTTCTCCAACTCATCAATCTCAGCGAGGACGTCTTCTGCTTCCTCAATGTCCAACGGGCCGTCTTTCTTGTCTGTGATGAAGGGTAAAAGAAATATCATATCTTGAGATAAAAATAATATGAAGGTTTGCATTGTGAAGTCAGCAATAAGTGTACATTTGTGGTGACATCAAGTGGCTTATTTTCAGAATCGAGCAACAAAACTGTTCTTGGTTTCTGTTTTCCTTTGTGGAAAATATGTATGATTAAAATCTCCAATCAGGATATTTGAAGCCGATTTTGATTCAAAGCCTTGTCTTGGTTCAATGCTGATCCTGTTTTAATATCTACATCGTCAACAAGTTTGTGCGCTGAACGAGTCGTAAACTGGTATGGGAGTCAGGTTGGCGTAGTGGTACTTTCCTCGCCTTCCACCGCTGTGACCTGGGTTCAATTCCTACCCAGGCCAATATGTGGATTGGATTTTCAGTCCCTATCCGATTCTTTGGATTTTCCTCAGAATATTCTTCTGGAATGTTCCTCCCACCTCTAAAACTGTAAGTTCCTCACACTGTCTTCTCTTTACTGGGCCCCATGGGAGACCAGTGGATTCCACTGAATGGGCTACCCAGTTACGATAAGAATTAAAAGTGATCATACCCAATGTCACAATTCTAGCAACAATTGCAATGGGGGTTCACTCAGGGAAAATGTGATGCGATCAAGCAAAATGAGTTGTTTGTCAGCAATAATGATTTTAAGATGCTGCCTAACATAGGTCAGTAGGGGAGGAAATTTAAAAATTGATTTCTGTAAAATCAGAAGGCTTCATGTCCTCTTTCATGTCAACTATTTTTGTTCCAAGAAAAACTCATGATAAAGTAGTTAAAATAAGGAATTAATAATCAAAGACCTGAAATAAAGCATGTTTACTGTTGCTTAATAAACACTTCAATTGTGAATCGTTGATTTCTCTGTTTGATTTCTCTGTTTTCTTCTTTCTGATCTGCCTGTGTTCTACACATGTGCCATTACTTCTGAACGGAAGGTCGTATTCACATGAGGTTTTCAACAAATATAAACTAAAAGATAGCTCTATTCAAAAATGTTAAAAACAAAATTCGATAAGGGCCCATTTAGCTTGATCGCATCACAAATAAAGGTTAATTACAAATCATTGTTCTAGACCAAACTCAAAATTGTTTGTTTTCTCCCTAAAGACCTACCCTCATCCTTGGTCTTCTCAGCGTCCGCTGCTCCTGAAGTCTCACCAGCTGTTATTGTGTTAGCAAAATACATCACAAATTAGTAAGGGATTTATAACTAGATTCAAATTTGGGGGAAATCAATCAAGGGCATTCATGGACCATCGATCATTCCATGGGTTGTTAGATTGCTCTGCTCTACTCAGGATGAGAGGTTGCAGGCAAAGGGAGTGGGGGGGGGCGCCAACTTTTATTCCAAAACATCACTGCAAGTGAATGTTACTTTACAAAACTTTCTGCTTTGACCAGTTCACATCGGTATTATTTTCACATCGGTATTATTTTGACAGGCGGGGGATGTTTTTCACGAACCTCGATGCCAGAGAGGTTCAGGGCGTCATCTGCGGGTAGCACATCCTGATATTTCCGGCCTCGCTCGCTGCGAGCGGGTCATTGACAGATATTTTTGGCCTTGCTCATTACGTGTTTATCCGTCATCCGTTCCGAAAACCGCAAAACCTTTACGTGTATACACGTCATCTGACATGAACTGGTGAAAGAACATCATCTATGGCTCCCCAATTTTGTGTACAATTATACTGAGCGCTGACAATGTGATTGTCATAGTTACTTTAGACTAACTTCAACAGCTTGGCAACTTCTAAAGTCGATGCAACTAAAATGATGGGTAAAAAACCACAAGATCACCTGTGGCAACAAGTTTTGTCACAATATCATGCAAGCTCCAATGCACTCATGTAAGAATTATTTCCATTGCTTATTGAACCACATAATGAAAACAGCAGTCATACTCTGTGTCAGGGGTTGGTAGGAGTGGGCAAACACAAACAGATTATAAAAAAGGAAGTCTTACCATCAACGTCTTCATCTTTAGCCTGATCATCTTTCTTCAAGGCATCCTCTGGGCTCATGGCAACCGCATCATGGACAAGCTACGTAACAGAAACACGGTATGTAAATTCACAGGCACCACTGCGTGGAAACACTTTAAATGAGCATCAACAGATTGTAAAATATTCTTGTTTGTTCCACATTGAGACTTCACTGTCTTCCAAATAAACGCTTAGCGTCTTTAAACTTACAGCAAGATTCCAAGATAGATATCCACCAGACTCCATAAACACTCCGCCAGACTATACTTATTATGGAATGCTGAGTACTCCCCCCTCCCTCCAACAGACACCATGCAGAACCCCTACACAGATACCCAGCCAGACCTAGCTCTACTCACATAAAAAGCTATTTCCCTACTTCCTATAGTGTCAGGCTTGTGGTCACTCAGTTCCCCATCATTCAACCCCGAAATCCAGACACACGCCAGACCCTCAAAGTGCCAAACCTCTGCTTAGATACACAGCCACACCTGACCTTACTCACATGGAATGCCGAGTGTTTCCCTTCATCCTCTTCACCCCCACGTATAGCATCAGGCTCCAGGTTGCTCAGATCTTCATCACTCTATCCCCCTCCCCAAGACACGTACCCTGCCCCCCCCCCCCCCCCCCACACACACGCATACACACACCTACTTGTTTCACATGACTAGTGTGGACTTTCCATTGCTTTCGTGTAGTTAAGAAAAACCAGTGAAAAAACTCATTTTTCTCAAACTGTGAAAACTCTTTCAACCCAATTTTTTTTCTATGATTCCCTTTAGTGTTTCTCTTCATTCTGCTACATATAAACCTAACCCAAAAATGCCTCTAAACCTGTTTTCCAGAAATGGGGAAACACTGTGTGGACGTGGGCAAGTCCACACAACGTCGGTGCTACCTACATTATGTGGACGTCTTTTGTTCGGAAGTCCACACTGCATATGTAAGACAAGCTCACACATTTGTTCTTGTGTACTAAAATTTTGCAATGTCACACACAAATTTGAAAATGCTCTTATTTTAACCAGAATTAATTTCCTGGGCTGAAATTTGGACTTAATATCCCTTTTCTAAAACTCTTCCATTTGTGACAGATCAACCCACCTTGGAAATTCATAGTTTTTCAGTAAAATCTATATATCTATTTCGTGAAAAACTTGTGGGGTACCAAAACGGTACCCAGCAAGTCGGTGGGCGTTCCTTGTGGGGTACCTCCCATTGTTCCGGTACCCCATAAGGCAGTGTTTATACGTTCAACCACACCCACCTAGACCTTTGATTACTCACATGGAATGCCGAGTGTTTTCCTTCATCCTCTTCACCGCCTGGTATAGCGTCAGGCTCCAGGTCACTCAATTCCTCTTCGCTCACATCCTTGAACATGTAGTACCCACCTTGACCACGCACAGCTGCAAAATATAAACACAGGTAAAAAAAATTGAGAGTTCAACCAATCACCATGCTCCTTAAATCACTCAAAAGAACTGCATACATTATCAGGTGAAACGTAGCTCTCAGTCAAAGCAAACTTTCCAAAAAGTAGCTTTGAATTTGTGTACTTTTATTTTAAAATGTGATTGTGCCAAAAATGTCACCATTTCGTTGTTGTTTTTTATTTTTTATTCCACTCTTTTGTTCATCAGTGACATCTTGAATGTCGTTCACAACTAACTATCTGTTTGACCAAAATGAGAATTGAAGAAATTTAAATACTAGTTTTTACTGCTTGCTTCTTCACCCAAATGTCCTTCAGCCGGCGCTATTTAAAGGCAGAGTAGATCATTTGACATTTGTGCATTTTTTCGTAACAAAAGTAACAAAAGTGCTCAAAATCTAAAGGAAGGTTGCCTAACAACTACCTGACAAAGTTTTAGTTCAGTGAATGTTGTCAATACCGAGAAAACAATATTCTAGGATCTCGAGTTTCATGTATACATTCAAGGATCTCGAGTCACGTTTTGAATTGCTCCCGAAATCAGCGTCCTAACACATTCTCATTCAGCCAATTGCAGCTACCCGATGCCACGCAATGAACCGACGAATTATAGCAACCGCGCTTCGCTGAATTAATAACGCACTATTTCCAAAAATGCGTCTTTAGACGCATCTTTGGAATTGACCTTCTTTTATTGTTTTCTTCAAAATGACAGCATACCAGATAAATTAATTCCACAGGTAGTTTAGTGCCATTACTATCTTCAAACCAAGTTTGCTTTTCAACAATTTTGTCATTTTATTTTATTTATTTATTCATTTATTTCTTATTTATCCCGTGTGATCCATTCAGTGAGAAAAACTCACTGATCTCCCATGGATCCCAGCTCACACAAAACTACTATTAAAATATTAAGAGAACAATGTAAGAATGTGAAAAAATTAATTGAAATAAACTTAATCAAAATAAGAACTACACAGATGATAATCAGACATTACTTTTGGATAGCTGCAAATGATACACTATACCTTTAATTTATCATAATCACACTTTACATACACTAAGAATACTGAGTGAAATATTTTACCTTCATCGTGATATTTGGGTTCCTTCCATTCTGCTTTGCTCATCAAATCTAGTTGTTGCTTCTGGATCCGAGCCATCCTGGACAAAAAAAGAAAAAGTTGCATAATGCCACTAAATAACAACGGTGTCCATTTGTACAGGGCATTTCAGTTATATTAACTTATTATAAACATGGTGACTAATACTGCCCCCAGCAATTCAATGTTAAATGCCACTAATACTGAAATGTGCAATAATTATATATGCCTTTGGCAGTGTCTGATTGCACTTCCTTTATATACGCGTGTTATACTGCCAGGTAGCCAACTAATTGGGACTTGGCCTACTTTGGACTAAACGCTTTATGATGCACTTAGGAGGACTTATGAATACTCATGAGGACTCGTGAGGACTTGTAATTGACTTGTGATGGACTTGTGAGGACTTGTGATGGACTTGTGAGGGACTTGTGATGAACTTGTGAGGGACTTGTGAAGGACTTGTGATGGACTTGTGAGGGACTTGAGATGGACTTGTAAAGGACTAGTGATGGACTTGTCATGACTCATGAGGACTCGTGATAGACTTGTAATGGACTTGTGATGGACTTGTGAGGACTTGTGATGGACTTGTGCTGGACCTGTGAGGACTTGTGATGGAATTGTGCTGGACTAGTGACAGACTTGTGAGAACTTGTAATGGACTTGCGATGGACTTGTGATGGACTTGTCAGGACTCATAAGGACTTTTAGTGGAGTAGTGATGGACTTGTAATGGACTACTGATTGACCTGTGAGGACTTGTAATTGACTAGTGAGGACTTGGGATGGACTTGTGGTGACTGATTTTCCATCAGATTTGTCCAACTTACTTCTTCTTAATTCCTTCCAGGATCCTCTTCTCTTCCAGACGTTTGTTGCGCACTCTGGTTGCCAGCAATTCGTTGATCAGTTCAGCTCCCCTATTAACCAATCACAGATAGAGTAAAATCACATATCAATGCTCATAACAGTTGTGTTGTGTTTCTTTTTAACTTGCCGAGAATCGGTATGTGTTCCTATGCATTTTGCAGGAGTAAGTTGAAAACTTACTGGGCACGTACGTGGTCTAACGGTGGAACACAGGATTCATGATCAAGAGGTTGTGAGTTCAAGCCCCATCATGGCCATGCGTGTTGTACCCTTGAGTAAGGCGCTTTACCTCAATTACTCCTCTCAACCCAGGTGTGAAATGGGTACCAGCATTATTCAATGCTGGGAAGGTAACAGACTCGCTGTGGAGGTGTGACGATCCCCCCACAGCAGCATATGAGTCTGGCCCAATTGCTAAACGAAAGAGAGATGGGCACTCCGTTCCTGTGAACACAGGTTCGTCCCTTTACCTTTTTTTTTTTAAGTTGAAAACTGGAGAAATGTCACGGTTAGGCTTGCAACTAGTACACAATCATTTTTCCCGAAGGCATTCTCTTTAACTTCCAGATCCAAGCGTCAAGTCTCCACACTGACTTACTTGGAAGCGAGGCTCTTTTGCTCCTCCAGCGAGATGACGACATACTGGAAATAGTTGCTGGTGAAGATGCGCTTCTGAGCCAACAAGAAGATGAAGACAGCCACGTCCCAAGACAAACCGGCCTCGTCTACCGGCAGCTCGCATTTTTCAGCTAGATCGGGATCTACAAGAAATACAAATAAATCGTACAAATAACCTTGTCTGATTTGGTTAAGATTTCCGATTCTTATCAACGCCTCCACAGTGACGGAGAGCTAGGCAGACTGTTGAATACCATTGCCACTGTACATGGAGTAGAGTACATCCAAAATGGTATTTCGAGCCGATTTCTCTGCAGGGAAAATGCTTGGATGTATAGCTTCTTTTCGTATCATTGTAGTAACTGACAAGTTTCATTGGATTTCAAATCCACTTTATGACTATAACTTTAATTATGCACACTGTTGAATTATCAAAAAGGTATGTCCGACACCGTTGAACACTGCCCACCCCTTGTATTCGGAGATGCCACAGGGGCTGCTTGGGAAAAAAAACGAAACTTTTGTGAAAAAGCCACTTCGACACAAGTCCACGTTGCCATCTTTCTCTTGTTGTAACCAAGCCTAGTTCCGTTTGATTTTTGATTTTTGCTTCTATGGCCTTTAAGCTGTCAGTTCGTCAATCACTTTGAATTTTTCCATATTCCTATTATTTATTCTGCCTACCCGAATTTCCAACATAATATCCGACACGAAACATGCACGATTCCACAACACTGTCGGTGTACATGACCGTTGCACTACGCTATGCGCGCGACGAAAAAATGGTTGATACCTGGCGTTTTTTTGTATTCACATATTTCACTGCGATCGGGAACCACTGATAACTGAAATGATAGGCTTGATTTCCAGGCTGAAAGCTATGCTAAAACCGAAAAAGTGTATTAAAAGAAAGTAACTTTAAAAGGAGTACCATCATAAGTTCTCCCAAACCAAACACTGGTTAGGGAACAACAAATTACTAAGCATGGCGAAAACGGCCCTCTTAAGAAAGTGGCTAGTTTCACACACCATTTTGGACCTCTGTGGGGGGTCCTTTAATAAACAAACTCTGATCCCTGGTCCACTGTCCCACATAAATCACTTGAAGGTTAAATGAACTACCACCTGTTATTGGCCACACTGCTTTCTGGAACTGCAAGTTTGCGGTCGAGAGTCAGCACCAACGGTCACAAAAAAAAATCGTTCTAGGCCTTTCATTCACTGATTTTCAGAGTTCAAAATATAAAACATTTCAACAAGTTAACATTTCAGGTACATCATTATGATAATACTTTTGTCGGCCAACAGATGGAATTTAGAAACGAAATATTATGCTTGAAATCTCTCAGGCAGAGTAACCTTCGCTCCTTTATGGGAACCAATTATAGGATAAGTGCTGGCAAATATCCGAATCCCCTACGGCAGGCTCCCCAAAATGGTGTGTCCCAATCCGAGTGGCCTATACAGTTGGTCGGGTTGGAATAAGAGGAATGTTCACGTCATGGGACACCTACCAATGGTGAAGTTGGTCTGTAGACACACCACGCCTAGAAGTTGCAGCAGCCAGCAGCAGTCTTTACTCACTAAGTCAGTGATGTAGACACAAGACATGATCTGCAGACACACCTTCAGGAAGATGACGAACAGGTTGTAGGCAAGAAGCAGGTTCCACCTGCAAAACCCACGGACAAAGAACAACAAACAAATTCGTCTATAAAAAAACAGTGGCTGGGGTTTCGATTTGGATTCCTTGTGTCATAGTGCTGACAGGTAAAGTAAAGGTAAAGCTTTAAGGTCCCATGGCCATTATTGGCCGGAGGGGCAGTGGGATGTTAGAGGTCCACTGTGTCTTGGGCGCGGCATATGGGTGGCGGTGCCCAGTCCTCTCCTCTTGCCGTCTTACCTTCCCTGAACGAATCAGGTACCCATTTTACTGTTGGGTCGTCAGAGAGAGTTTTTTTGTTTTTGGTCCGAATGGGATTCGAACCGCCAACCTTCCACTCTGTAGCTCTACGCTCTAACCGCTGGGCTACGAGGCCCCTCTTCGGCTACGAGGCCCCTCTAACAGGACAGCTACGAGGCCCCTCCAACAGGCATGCTGACAGGAGGAAGTCTCAAATTTTGAGGGAGCTTTTTTGAAAGTATTGTTTACCGTTTGATGACGACTGCCGTGGGTTTGATGAGGTACTCGGAGCCAAGCCACAGGAAGTAGAAGGAGAAGATGATGTAGATGAGACCAAAGAGACTGACGCGGGTGGTGCCAGCCAGGAAGGTCACCGCTAGGGTCACCCAGAACAAGTACTCAAAGACCAGGGTCTGAGGGAGTGGGGACAAATGTTATCATTGATGAGAAAAGTAAAAGAAAACTTCAGAATAGTATGAACAGTAAGGGCCTAACAATACCTAGTTTATGATATGACATATATGATGATATACGTGTAAAGGTTCACACGATGGGAGACATTGGTCATTAGGGAGACATTTTCATGTCTCCTAATGTCACAGCACCCCTTTAGAGGCACAATTTTATTGTCGCAATTAGGTTCTATTTGTTGCTTGAGGTCTAATTAGTTAACATACGGAAATTCGTGGAAAAAAGGAAAAGGGAAGATTGGGTTAGGGCACATTTAAGTTTGAAAATTTTGTGCACAAGTCTATGGGGAGGTCTCCCAAATGTCCAATCCAGGGTAATTATTACTAGGGTAACGATGATAATTATGAAAACAACTTATAAAATATCAAATAATACACGCGTATCGAAATATCTCAGACCAAAGTCAGGGTAATTTCAGATTTGGAAACAGATATTGCATAAGCAAGTTTACAAAGAAATTTCACTTACCTTTGCTGTATCAAGATATGACCTGAAACACAAGAGAGAAAAACAATTAAAATAGGATAGAAATAAATCTGGTGAAAATTCATTTTCAATTCATCAAATTTATGATTCAGACATTGCAAATTCTGAAGAGTTGGAGGTTTTTAAAAACCACGAGGGTTAATATAAATTTACCTGCTGAACGTGAAATTGGGGACTGGATTTTCAGCGATATTTTCGATGTCAACAAACGCTTCGTAGTTGTCGCCCCCACCGTATGCTTTACCCCGGTTCTTCTCAACGCGGAACACGTGCAGCTGAAGGCAGACAAACAACAGCTGCAAGAAGTCGGCTAAAAAAAAGAAAATTCAGAAAAAAAAGTTGTCAATATCTTTAATAACGTGGAGGTTCATTAACACTCTCTCATTTGTATGGTGTTGAAAAAACTACATCAAAAAAAATCTGTGGATTTTAGAAACCAGTGGCTTTAAAACTTATATGTGACTGGCTCCACGAAAAAAGGGTATAATGTCGCCCAAAAAATTTAGATTGAGTTATATGCATCGTTGGAAAGCCCACAATGTAAGCTTTCATTTGGTATATAATAGAGCTCCATAGCCCCTCCTGTTCTGGAGATACAACGTATTTGCATATGAATTACTTCCTTGGAGTTTAAATTACACAACTGAGAAAACAGGCTTTGAAATAGCTGACTTTGTTGTAGAACAACAGAATGATGCACATAAAATGGTTGTTTTGTCCACTTTGTTCATCAAAACCAAAATTTCTGTGAATGAAACCTGAAACTGTAGGTATTAAAGATGTCATTCATGACAAAAAATGAAAATCACATTTCAACAAAATGTTCACCCTCTCAATGTTGAGCGGGCCATTACACATTAATGCTCAGCCCGACTTAATACCCTTTTTTTGTGGAGCCGGTCAAATATTCATGAATGTGCCTTTACATCCCTAAAAGTTTAGGACGAAACAGAAAAATGTATTTTAATAATGTTGTGCCTACATGAGGCAATAACAGTAAAGTATGTTGCCCAAGAACAAAAAAACCATGACCCCATCCGGATCCAAACTCACATACCACCACACAAGGTTGCTGTTTGTTTGTTTGTTTGTTTGTTGGGGTGTTTGCTTGTTTGTCTGTGAGCGAGGGAGAAGGGGTGAGGGGTTGGGTGAGGGGCGGGGGGGGGGGGGGGGGGGACCTTACCAACGATGAAATGTCCCTCTGGAGGTGACACGTAATCCGACAGATACAGCCAGGTGATCAGTTCTTCAGGCAACGGGTTCGTCCATGGGTATTCTGCAAAAATTGGTAACCCACATAATATAAACACCAAATATATTACAGGTTTGACTGACTAATTGATTGACTGGCTAACTGAGTTACTGAGTAAAAATAATATGACTTCCCACCACTTTATGAAAAACACAATTCCCTAATAACATGAGTTCCCACCACTTTATGAAAACACAATGCCCTGATATTTCCCTTGGAAATCTCCAGAGTTCCATTCAGAAATGTTTTCACTCTAACGAGGTTGCCGGTAAGTCATGAGGTGGTGTACCACAGCAGATTGTTATTGTAATATTCACACTGCATAAACACTAAACAGCCACCACAGCCAGTCAGTCAAAAAACACAACCTGGACACATGACACATACGCCAAAAAGGTAAAAAAAAAAACCTTTACTTTTTGGGTCACACTATCGAATTCCCTGAGTTTTCCCTGATTTGTTTTGGTATTTTTTTGCAAATTCATTGAGTTTTACTTCACTTGAAAAAAAAATGAAAACTCGTTGTCAAGGTTTTCCCCGATTTCTAGAGTGGCTGAGAACCCTGATAATGTCCTAAACCGAGTCCGTCAGGTCCAGATCGAAACAGGCAAGCTTGTTTTTTGTTTTCCTCGGGAAATAACGACCAACGATTTGCACTCACCGAAGCAGAACATGGGCGGCAGGCCCAGGGAGAGGGCGTAGGTCAGGGGGAGCAAGATGAGGAGGAGGATGGTGTAGAACGGCCAGAGATAGGAGACGGTCTTCCTCCTGAGGAATATCATGCACAGCATCAGCACCAGGTAGATGACTGAGAGGGCGTCTAGACGTACGGCGGAGACGATCACCGTGGTGACGTAGCACATCTAGGACGAGAAGAGAGCCAGACAATGATATAAAGAAATGTGTAAAACATTTGAAAAGTTCCTCCAAAAGTTCAAATTCTCATTCTTAAAATGTGGGTGCCACTTCAACATATTGTATCTTAAAGGGAAAATACAACATTTGCAAACATCAAAAAATAAAACTACCAAATCATTTTGAAATACCTTGCTGGACTGTTAGTGAATGACAGTGTAAAGCATCCTGTAAAATCATGGCACCTGGTATACTGTCATTTTCAAGGAAAGTGGTATTTTTGTATCAATTTCCAACGCAAATCGGCCAATCAGCGTTGGAAAAAACTGGCTTTTTTTTCAAATACTGGCCCCAATTGACCATCGCACTTGTTTGCAATTGATTACAAACCTATGAATGGGTACGAGCCAGCTAGACTGGTTCCCTGACCTTACAATTCCCCAATGTATGTAAACTGCTCTGTTTCTTCTTATATGGAGTCAGGGAACCAGACTACAGGGAAATGATTGTTTTTCTTGGTTTTTATAGCATTTTCGAACCCAAAACCTCAAAAAAGTCAGTGTAACTATATTTGCTATATATTTCCAACCCCCCAATTCCATCCATTTCTGAAAATTACAGCAAAAGCAAATGATGTATATTCCCTTTAATGAGACCAGTGAATTCTCATACCTCCAGCCCGTACTTGTAGAAGCAATAGTTGGCCAGGAATTTGATGCAGTTGACCAGGCCCTCGTCGGCCTGCTCCCGCTTGACCTCCTCAAAGATGACCCTCTGCTTGGGCTTCTCCAGGTCGTTGATGTTGCGGTAGTGCTCCTGGCGAAGCTGGGCGATGTACCACAGGAGCATCATCAGGATGATGAACACGTAACCCTGAACAGGCAAAGAAAGATGACAATGAACAAAGTACGAGAATATCCGAGTCGTCAACTTCTGTCCAATCAAAGCCTGGAATATATGGGCTCTGTGTGTGAACAAAAGAGGGCGCTGTTTACCACTTTTGAGTGTCCAGTGGACAGGACACACCGCGTGCGTATAGTGTACTTGTTCTACATAAGCCCGAGGACAGACACACAAAGGGAGAACAGATCCTTTCAGTCCTCGGGAGTTGGGTCTTTTGTTGGAAACGGTCCTCTGTAGTAAGTTTGTATGCTTAGTCTATGGGAGAGTGTTATATTACAGGGACAACGGAAAACACAATGCATTGTCCTCGGGGTATAGTAAAACAAGAGTGTGGTCCATGCATGTTTAGAGTGAAGTACACACAACTTATTTCAGCATGAATGTGCATGCGCAAAGCCATAGCATCTTATTTTCGCAGGAGTATCGGGCATCCTCGGCAATGCGTTCAAATGTCTCTCCCAGTCGTTTCCCGTAACTCTCCCTTTCTTGCCGTTGAGGGGGCACTTGTGCATCAAGCATGTCAAGCCCGTACCAATTTAAGTTGCATCCTTTCAGATCTTATCACTTACAATAACCTTGGAAGCGTACAATTTTGTAGAATCAAGAAATTAACTCCAGTCACAAAATAGAAAAATTCCAAGCAATTTTCCATCGCAGCTGAGGTAGAGTTTATCATAGCAAATATCCAAAAAGTAACTGACAAAATTATTGTTGAAAAGCATACTTGGTTTAAAGATAGTAATGGCGCTGAACTCCCTGTGAAATTATACTTTCTGGCATGCTGTCATTTTGAAGAAAATAAAAGAAGGCTATTTCCAAAGATGCCTCTAAAGATACATTTATGGAAAGTCCGCTAGTGGTTTGTTTTTAATTCGGTGAAGCCGTGAATGGATGCGGGCAAGCGTTGAAATAATGCACAGGGGTGCGCGGTTGCTATAATTCGTCAGTTCAGTGCGTGATTTTGCATAGCTGCAATCGGCTGAATAAGAACATGTCCCGGACCTGATTTCGGGCCAATTTAAAACATTGACTCGGCAACTTTCAAATAGAAATCGGGATCCTAGAACATTGTTTTCTCGGAATATACAACACTCACTGAGCTAAAACTTCATTGGGTTAGTTGTTAAGCACCCGTCTTTAGATTGAGAGCACTTTTATTGCTTCAAACGAAACAAATGACAAATGATATACTCTACCCTTTAATAATAACAGTTCGGCTCCGGAAATCAGTTTGATTTAATTAATCATTTTCATTTTTTTTTCAAATGTTCAGTCTCTTATTATTTATATTTACTTACAATGATGTAAGCTGGAAATGTGTTTGTCTGCTCCAGACCAAACCACTCTAGGTAGCTGAAATTGTCCTCGATTTCGGTATTGTCCTGAAAATGGAAAACAAATAGTGAAATAATTATAAAGATTCAAACTGGCAATTTAATTTCAAAAGTTTCTTTTTTTTCCTCTAGTCTCCCCGTATCTAATATGAAAAGGGCTAAGCATTAAGCAGTGCGGAAAAAATGTTGCAACCTGGCGCCACTTTTTTCTTCATATATTATCTCAATGAAGGTCAGTCATTGCAAAAATGATGATAAGAAATGAATTTGGGACTGAGAAACATTTCTATTTTTTTTAGGAAATACTTAAAACATTTTCTTGACTCTCCATAGACTTTGTACACAACCGCTGAAGTGGCGTCAGGTTGCAACATTTTTTCCAGCAGTGCAATGACATTAGCAGTCGCTGTTAAATTCAAGTACTTTAATGTTCCAAGCCAAGTACAAGTGCACCTTACAAACACGTGATTGAGAAACACTCATGAATGTGTTTTGAATAACAGGCCTTTGGAAATCTCGTCCTTGTTCCAGCTGTGGCTCAAACTTAATGTGGGTTATTGTTCTTATTCAGGAACATCAAGTCATGAGACCAATATTTAGAGTATACTCCTTTGGTTTGGACAGTCGAAGCCTTTACTGATTCTGAAGCTGAGTGCAGATGAAGCCAGTATTTCGTAGACACTGCAAAAGACACCAGACTAAAAATCTCCCAAAATGCCTTGTCTTTCCCATTGGGTACCCAGGTCTGGGGCCCTTACCGTGCAGTTCCTTTCGAACTTCTCCATTGGCATCAGTTCCAGCTGGAACACCATCTTGACAAAGATGACCACGGATACCCAGAGAGCCGCGATCAGGAACATTAAGCGGGTGAACCAGGGCAACGGGAGGACCAAGAAGATGAGGAGGACCAAGAGGCCGTTAGCTGCCGTCATCTTAAGAGTTGGGGAAAAAAATTAAAAGATGCTTCATTTGAATTGCGGTGAATTGCTTTTAAATGGTTTAACCAAAAACAAGTGCGAGTGCACAATAAGCTCTGGCCGTCTCGCATGAAAGTCTTGCACGAAAGTCTGGCCTGAAATCTATCAACTTGATCCCAGCCACAGCTTAAAAATGCGACGCCCAAAAATGCAACGCCGATGGCACATATGAAACATATGTTATTTTAACACTTGTATCACACAAATTCCTCATGTCGATACTTTAAATTCGTCCCCAAACATCGCAAAGCTCAATTCTCAATTTGAATTTCAGAAAGCCACCACTAGATTTCATTTAAGATACAGTATAATTCAAATTGTTAGCTTACAGTTTCGTCCTAAATATGTGAAATTCGTCTCGTCTCTAGCCTCATTTTGAAATCACTTGACTTGCCTCTCAGGTGAAAAATATTGAAGAAAAGTCTCCTTAAAAAATTGAAATGAGTCTGTAAACTCGATTGGTGAAATACTGAGGACCTTTTCTTTGCCCAGTGGAATTTTTGGAGAAATTTGCTGGCTAAAGAGTGAGTAAAGTGGGACTGATTTAGTGTTGCATGTTTCAGAGCAGTCCAGGTCCAGGTCCCAGTCTGGGATGGTGACATGGCCTTTACCTCTCTAGTGACCACCATGATGATGGTGAAGATGACAATTTTGCTCATGTGAATCTCCAGCAGTCGCCAGACGATGGCGGCCGCTCGCTCGTAGTGAGTCCTGCAGATGATGGCCAGGTACTTGATGTACAACTTCATCTTAGAATGGGTCTTTCCTGCGTAGGTGACAACAACATCAACTCCCGTCGGTTACTTTTTCTAGCTGGATATTGACTATTTTATATTTTCTTTGATAATTTAAAAAGATAGGTAAATGATGTGGTTTTGGCTCCTTATTTCTCCAAGAATACTATAATAACAATAATAATAATAATGGCAATTTATACCGCGCCGGTATCCGCCATAAATGACGCTTATGGCGCAATACAAAAATTAAATCAAATCAGAAATAATAAACAATTAAATATAACTAAACAAGAATATTCTGAGTGATCTGAAACAAATAGGTCTTCCACTTTAAATTCAGAAAGCGATGAGATATTGCGAATGGCGAGGGGTAGCTTGTTCCAAAGATGAAGTTCAGTGATGTTTAAAGTGTCAGGTTTGGTGCTTTCTATAGCTGAGAGCTCTAGTGTCTGGGACACACTGCGAGTACATTTAGTTCGAGCATGTATAGCGTTCAAATAATGACTGCTGCGAGTGGTGTAGTAAAACTATCCTCCTGAGGTGATCCACTGAGCATTCTATTTTTCCAGAGGCGAAATAGAGTGCTCTATGGATCACCGAGGGAGGCTAGTTTTACTACACCACGAGATAAAGCAGTCAATATTTGTTTTATAACACCTCTCCCACAGATTCTGCTTGATTTTAAGAGATAACTTATTACTTTTATCTTAATACAATCAAAATGTACTTCTATTTGACCACGAAATGTTTGAACCCAGCTATGTATCCCAAGCACTTAGGAACAATCGCAATCGTAATAGGCGCAATCGTAACGAGAACTCTCCTACGCATTTCCACACAATACTGCACGGTTGCTATGCGTATTGCACTTTGGTTGCTATGGGTACAGTACTTGGTACGGATATAGTACTTTTGGCCCTGCACAGCAAGATAGCAAAAATAGTTAATGCCATGTGACTAGCTCTTGGCCAATCAAGACACAGAATCTTGTGGGTGAGGTGGTAAAATGCAAATTATGCACAATAAGATAATCGTCTTGACATACCGGCTTTGCTGGTGTGAGACGCTCCATCCACCTCATCACCGCCTCCTCCTTCAGCTGCCCCGCCCTCCCCTTCATCATCTTCCTCCTTGATCTTGCTCGGCCTAAGGAGTGATTGACATTGAAAAAAAAAAGAAAAAAGTTATCAAATTAACCTTTGGAATATGGAAATATATGTTTTAGAATAAGGGAATAACAGTATGAGGAGCCGGTCTTCACTGCCTGATAATGACCGGGTTTGGGGGTGACAGCTGTTAATGGACCGAGACAAAGTCGAGGTCCATTAACAATGGAGTATACAATGTTTGTAAAAATTCGAAAGAAGCAACGTAGGTCCAAAGACACACCTACAGAAGACTACTGACATCTTCAAGTTGATTCTAAGACTATAGTACATGCCTGGTCTGAAATGAGCATTTCTGGCTTTAGCTATGGTAGCCCACCATTGGCATATTCTATAGCCCTAGCCACAACATTCCCTATTCAGCTGTACTTACTTGTATCCACCTTGTTCAATCTTGGTGATGTCCATGAACTTGGAATGGAAGTAATGAAGGTAGACCATGACAATGATGACGAACGCCGTCGGGATCAGGAGGTTGAGGAACAGGGCCGATGTGCTGTACTGACGAAGACCTAGGTCTTGCAATCTGAGGTCAGCAAAGGAACAGATGCGAGATGTGTTTTTAAAAAAAAATGTTATTTGAAAATCATGGGGTTGTTTGTGAAAACGTTTCACTTGAAAAACTGTCCGTGTGGTCAAGTATGAAAGGGTGGTTTAGGGCGAGTCCGCAATTGAACAGGGGTAACTTGAGATTTACCTCAAGGTTATACGTGGGGCCTCAGGATTAAACCTCGAGTTGCTGTTTTTTTAATCTTGCATTCTTCCCTCACGATATTTCTTTAGATGTACCGCAGTACTGCAGTGTACAAATGCAGTAGTGCAGGAGGCATCTTTATTGTCCACAATATTATCCAGTTCAGCATCACTGAGCTCGGGAAAACGCTAATTAACATTTACGCGTGCAACCATCTTTCCATGTGTACCTAGCAAGGGCGAAGTTCGCGCACGCTTACTACACCAGTGCGACAGTTCCACGATTGCTTCGTAAAACGCATGCATATTTACTCCGTGGTGAATACTCGCGCGCTTGGTAAAGAGCAAAAACAGCATCTGGCAAGTGACGGCGAATAGACCAGTGAGAATTTCGGGTCTCGATCATGAATATGTTTGAGATATAGTATTAATGAATGTCTGAGCACCACTGTTTTCAAACCAAACTTTTGTATAATATATACTTTGCAATTGACAGTTAGGCAAGCAGTTTTTTAGATGCGAAGGTTGGAAGAAAGCTACTTCTCTTTTAGGAAACAATTCAAATAATCTCTTGTATCATCGACTAAGCCTAACAAACCCCAGGATTTTATGGAAATTCAGTGTGCACACAAATGAAGCAGTGATTCTATTCACCAAAAGTCCAATCCCAACAAAGAAAGAGCAATAAATTGTTTGGGAAAAAAAAAAGGAAAAAAAGAAAGAAACTGTACACTCACATGCCGAACACACTTACATTTTTTCGGAGATTCCAGTGCCGTTGGTCCAGTAGCCAGGGAAATCTTGAAACTGGTAGGTGTAGATAAGGACTAGGACGGCGATGGAATACACAACGACCAGCAAGAAAAACATCCAGATGACCCATCGGAAGAGAGTGAATGACCACTGGAAGAAGGAACATAAGGACCAATAAAACACTGATTCATAATAAAGACAACTTTGTGTGATGTGTTTTTGTAGTTGTTTTTATTAGGGTGGTATGCTCATTTCTGATGAAAAGTAGGGCTGTCACAAATATATCGAATACTCAAATATTGGATCATCAACCGAATATTCGAAGAACTTTTTGCCGCTTTGAATATTCGGGGACACAAACTATGCACATACACACGACTGTAATGTTATTTTATTGTAAAGTTGTTGCACTTTCTTGTCAGGTGCCACTTTTTTGTCGACGGTAACTTTCTGTCGATGGTGAATCATTGTTTTCATCCTTTTAGCAGGTTAAAGCCCTTTTACAGTTATAAAATACTTACTGCAAAACATTCCACCGCCCCATATCGACCGCCGCACGCCAATTTTAACTGGCACACTCTTCTTGCAACTTTTGACCGGCGCAGCACGCACTTGCAGCTGGCAGTTTCGAATATCCGTATATTCGGTTAAACGCAGTTTCGAATAATCAAATACTAAATTATTCGACAATGGACAGCCCTAGTGTAAAGTCCCACCATGCACAATACTGAATGTGTTGCCTTCAGTCTTGACGTCAGCACAGCCTCCAAATCTTTCACGGTGGATTACGAGCCCGAGACCAGCAAGTGCCTCAGTGGCTGATTGACATGTGATATTTAGATCAACCTATTCAAATGCATATGCACCTATGAATGGAAAACTACGTTTTACGCATGACTGTGAATTGATGAGTAAGAACTAAGGTCTTCCTAATTAATTTGCATGAGATAAAAAAAGAAGAAGCTACAATCGGCTGAGGCCAACTTCGTGGAGCTGTTAAAGGTATAGTCCATCATTTGCAGCCATCCGAAAAGTAACTGGCGTAATTATTGTTGAAAAACAAACTTGGTTGAAAGATAGTAAGGGGACTAAACTCCCTGTGAAATTATTCTTTCTGGGAAGCTGTCATTTTGAAGTAATCAACGAAAGAAGGCATTTCCAACGGTGATTCTTAAGAAGCACCGTAGGAAAATTTAAATTAGTAGTTCGTTTTGTTATTCAGCGCAGCGCGCACAAGTATTGGAACGACGCACACGTGCGCACGGTTGTTATAATTCGTCGAATCAGTGCGCGACGTCGCGTATAGCTGCAATTCAAAACAATTCAAAACATGATTCAGTAACTTTGGATTTGAAATTGAGATCTTAGAATGCTGTTTTTCTCGGAATGTACAGCTGAAGCTTAGCTGAAACTTCATCAGGTTAGTTGCTCAGTATCCTTCATTAGATTTTGAACTCTTTTGTTGCTTCAAACGAACAAAATGCACAAATTACAAATGATGGACTGTAGCTTTAAGCACAGAAAGTTGCTAACACAGGAAATATTCGCTTAGCAAGCACTGGTTACCATCCAAAACTTCACTTGATTGATGCTGAAAGTGACTGGTTCTCAGCTAATTCTAGCTTGGCCCACTGATTTGCTCAGCAATCGTCTTGCTTTTCGGCTCTATGTGAAAGTGAGCTAAGAGATCTGTAGAACTCACCAAGAACATGTTTGCAATGAGCAGGAACAGCCCCATGTAGACAATCTTGAAGATGTCCACCGACTGCTGTATGCTGACGATCAGAAACATGGCGGCCACCAGGAATATCCAATACTTGGACAGGATGCCCAGGATGGTGCTGCCGATGACCGACATGGTCTCACTGTCCCCCTGGTCAGTGAAGTCGCCTCCTTCCCGCGCCTCTTCAATGGCTGAGCACAAGAGACGAAGAGCGTCATGAAAGTGTGGAAATTACAAGGAAAATCTTGGTGTACATACCGGTATCTGAGGTTATGGCTACAAGGAATAAAAAGCAACAATTTGGAAATGGGGCCCCGATAATCTGCCTATGCAAATCTGACGACCACTTCAGACTGATTGTTTCAGAGTTTCCCCGAACTAAATTATTCTGAGAATCGGAGTAGGGGATTCCTTTTTGGAATCAATTGAATCTAATCCCTCACCGAGCATCTCTTGATCCGGATCTGAGAAGATCATCCCAAAGGGCTGCAGGATAATCCCCTCAGAGCTGACGTTCAATTTGGACAGGCGTTTCTCTCGCAGGAACTGCCGCAGTGTCAACCACAGCATCAGTGTATACACCAGCTGAAAAACAAGGGGGAAAAAAATCAATTTGAAGGAATTGTTACAAAGCTGTTCCTTTGCCAGTGTTCATCCCTAATTCTGACTTGTGATTGTCTTGTGATTGTCTTGTGATTGTCTTGTGATTGTTTTGTGACCAAGTTGTCATTGACCTGTACTTGACTTACGACTGAAAGTTACGATTTGACTTGTGACCCGCTTTTGATTGACTTGAGATCGGCCCACAACCGACGACAGGGTGTATCAAAAAGAAGTAGAAAAATGCCCCCCAAATCAAAAATTTAGTATTTTTGGAATATCGCTCTATTCATATGGGTAGATTATAACTTTCAGGCTTTAAAGGTGCAGTCCATCATTTGCAGATATCCAAAAAGTAACAACTGACGTAATTACTGTTGAAAAGCATACTTGGTTTAAAGATAGTAATGGGACTAAACTCCCTGTGAAATTATTCTTTATGGCAAGCTGTTATTTTGAAGACATCAAGAAAACAAGGCCTTTTCAACGATACGTCTAGAAATTTCTGTTCGCAGTTCATTTTTTTATTCGGCGAAGCGCGCGCAAGCGTCGACACAACGCACATGTGTGCGCAGTTGCTATAATTCGTCGGTTCAGTGCGTGACATCGCATCGCTGCAATCGGCTCAGTGAGAACGTGTCGCTGAATTCAGGCCCAATTCAAAATATAACTCAGCACCTTTTGATTGGAAATTGAGGTCCTAGAATATTGTTTTCTCGAAATATACAGCATTCACTGAGCTGAAACTTCATCAGGTTAGTTGTTCAGCACCCTTCTTTAGAATTGGAGCACTTTTGTTGCTTCAAACGAACATGATGTACACATTACAAATGATGGAAGCCACCCTTAAATTTGACATAAAAAAGATTTGCGATTTGGTTTAAGCTTAAAATATGATTGAATTGTCTTTAGCTCGTGACGGACTCTAAGACATCTTGTGACTGACCTGGAGAGCAAGAGGAAAGCACGGATCTTGAAACTTCATCAGGCCGATCTCGGTCAGGTTAACCCCGTTCTTGGTTCCGATCTTAGATGGCAGCTCATCATCGGTGAGGTTCAGGCCGTAGACAAACTGGATGAGCAGCAGGCCCTGACAATAAAAATGTGACAAAATCAGAATTCAATCACAAATTTTGTACTTATGTTATCTATCCTCCAGTTTTATTCCTTAAAGAATCAATGATGCCCGTCAAGCTATTTTAATAAGAAGCCTTTAGTACCCAATCGCATCTTAGGAAGTTTTAATCTGTACACTATCTAATGATGAAAAACTCTGTTCTCTGCAATAGGCCAGTTTCGTATTCCAACTGCAAATGTGCACATATCAAGATTTGCCGATGTATCTCTCGGGATAAAAAAATCTATCGTATGCGTGCAAAAGCATAGCCGGGTACCAGCAAAATTGAAGAGATCATCGTGTTCTGAAGTATAACATTTTGCAAAAAAACCTTTGGACAACGAGTTTTTTTAGGTGTCTTGTGTGTCAGAACTTTTGTGCGAATGAAAGTTCCATCTCTTTTTGATTGCAAAATGCAGATTTGGTTACCACGTCCCTCATAGCCTTGTGTGCACTTATCTGCTGCGGTTATCCTGAAGAAAAAAAAATCGTAGAATCTTGCTGTGCACCAGACTATTGTGGAATACCGAACTCGCTTATTGTAAACAATTACACGGTACCCGGTTTCATTTTTGTTGGTTTTATTACCCAGAATCTTCTTTGCAGATACAAACACAACCTTTCTGAAAGGGAGACTTCACTTTTTTATTGATGGGTTGCCAATAAACATTAAAAAAAAAAAAAACTTTTTAATCCAAGGGGAAACTTAGATTTGGTTTGAGCCTAATTGCCAACAAAAAGCCTGTTCGTTATTCCAAAATAGTCTGGTGCACAGCAAGATTTGACAATTTTTTTTTTTTGGGGGGGGGATAACCGCCGCAGATAAATGCACACAAGGGGACGTGGTAAGCGAATCTGCATTCTGTGCAATTTTTTGTGCAATAAAAAAAAGAGATCGAACTTGCATTCGCACAAAAGTTTGGACTCACAAGACACCTAAAAACACTTTTTTATCCAAACGTTTTTCTGCAAAGTGTTACTTTAGAACACGACGATCTCCTCAATTTGCTGGTACCCTGCTATGCTTTTGCACGCATACAATGAAACGTTTATCCCGAAAGAAAAATCGGCAAATTTCGATGTGCATATGCGCAGTTGGAATACCAAACTGGCATATTCCACAAACTGGCTGCATCAGTTTACGTTACAATTCGGCCATCTTTGAGGTGATGTGTGCCACTGTGCAGGATGCTTGGAGTATTAAAGAACTACCACACGTCTCTCAATATTGGTTCTATGGGCCTTATTCACGAGTCGGCCATATTGAATTGAAAGTGAGGTAAAATCTTAATTTTTGGAACTTGTGAGGAGAAATGAAAGCAAGTTAATAATCAATTCCAGTCGGCTTCAATGAATAATTTTAAATTTGTAGTTAAAATTTACCTAATGTTGAAAGCCAGATTAGATAAAAAGACAGTACAATAGGGCTGCATTGTGCCTGCAAAAATAGTCTGGCTCCATCCCATTGAACAGTTAACACTAAGTGAAATACATTCAAGAACTCAACAAAAATGGCCAACTCTTGAATAAGGCCCATGGGCCGGACTGTAACAGTGACGGGTTTCCGGTTCCGATATTATCCGTAAAAACCACACCCTTATTCCCACGGTTACCTGGCAGTAGAAGACGAGCAGCGGGGAGCTGTACAGGGCGCGGTTACGCGTGGTGGAGATGGGGATGATCCAGATGAGGAGGGACCACAGGAGGAGCACAAAGGTCAGCCAGCTGTGGTAGGTGATGCTCCAGACCTGAACGGGATTGGACAAGAAGTGGTGACATCATTTGAAAAGGAGCCAATCAGCAGGTGCTACAGTCATGCTGCTTAGAGACAAAATCCTGCTTAACGTTTGTGCTTAGTACCGATCAGTTGAGTACCAGTCAAGAGCAATATATATATTGCATGATATATTGGCTGGTAACCTGATTTGGCTGAGCAAATATTTTTCTTGGCCTAGCAAATTTTTGTGCTCAGCAGTTACATAAAACTGGACCTCAGCTTGCAGCCCCTACAGATGGTACACTGCTGAACACAACATGTCCGGGACAAAGCAGAGCATCTTTCAGAAAAAGTGAATGATTCTACCAGCAACTTGTCTGGAACTCGTTCCAGATATGATATTGAGACAGGCCCTTACATGTAGCTGAATATATCGCTTAGCAGATTTGAATGACAAACAAAACACTTTCCAAGACCTTCTGGCCATTACCCATTTTTGTTCAAGCACATATTTTCTGCGCTTAGCCAATGTCAATTAATGGTAGCTGGGATCTACAGTCCCGCATCCATCAAAATCCTAGGTTGTTTGACTTTGGTGGATTGGTATAGTTAGTGTGAAAGGCATATTGGAACATTTGCAGTTATCCCAAAAGTAACCTACCGGTACTGAATTATTATCAAAAGGCTTACTTGGATTTAAAGATCATACTGGTACTAAACACCCCGTGAAATTATTTTACCTGGCTTGCTGTCATTTAGAAGTCAAGACATGTAGGTGATTTTTCAGTGATCAGTCACTTGACTGATTTTTGGAAATAAAAAGTGCAATGGACGCTATTGTATTTCATGATCAAAAGGCTACGCATAGTTTTTCACAGTTTTCTTGAAAAATATAATATCCACTGAGCTGAAAGTTCAACACGTTAGATTTTGAACATTCTTCTGTGGATTTTGAGTGGTTTTATTATTGGAAATGAACAAAATGCATAAAAAGCCAATGATCCTACATGACTTCAAAAGGTTTTTTTCCACTAACCATCATAAGGATGAGCGCCGCAATGTAGCACTGCTTGGTGACGTACGCCACCAGCGTCGCAAACGGCGACATCTTATGTTGTCCGTCCTCTGCTTCCTCCTCGTCTGCCTGTTGCTGTAGCCCCTCCACTTCCTCTCCTGGCTTACCCGCGCTGGTCGTGGATGCCTCCGTTGGGTCCATGGATTGGTAGGATGGGCCGGACTCATCCATGAGGCGCTGTGGGCGCGGAGGGGTGAAAATGAATTGAGGGTGAGACACAAATGGCAAAAAAAATCCAGTTCAACATGCTGTAACAGATTATAAATCTGCAGACATTTATTATTGTTATTTATTTGCTAAATTCATGCGCAATTATTTGTTATTCCAATTTTTTTTCTAAATAACTAAATGTCTCCAATTGTTTCCATCTTTGATAAACATAAACCATAACCTTAGCATGGCAACCTTTCTTTTTTATTTTTCAAATTTGGAGCACTTCTTTGAGGCAGGATACATGAGAGTTAAAAGTGAACACGGCGAAGAAGTTCATTTATTTTCTGTAAATATTGGAATTTTCATGAATTGGACATGTGAAATGAAACGTTGCAATGTCTGAATATAACTTGTACATGTACATGTATGTAAACATTTGTGGCAGTGTTTTTGATGGCAAGTTAGTAAATGCATTTTGCGTTATAGTAAGCAGCATACAAAAGAAAATACCTGTTATTCGGATTCTGTTTGAAGATGAAAACATTAGAAGGAAAATATTTTACTTTTAAAATATTCTGCAAGTGAAACTATATAATCAACTATTGCCCAGGCAACATGTTACTATTGCCCGGGCAGTATGTTACTATTGCCCGGGCAATATGTTAATATTGCCTGGGCAATATGTTACTACTGCCCAGGTAATATGTTGATACTGCCCAAGCAATATGTTACTATTGCCCGGGTAATATGTTACTAATGCCCCGGCAATATGTTACTATTGCTTGGGCAATGTTACTATTGCCTGGGCAATATATTACTATTGCTTGGGCAATATGTTAGCCTGGGCAATATTCCAAAATAGACAGGAAACAGGCAGACTATTGCATACAAAGGTGGAAGGCAGAGAGCAGGCACTGAACTGAGGCATGAATGCACATTGAACAGCAGCAGAATGAAATGAAAATGAACAGAAAACATGCAGCATGCACAGCGAAATATGCTGTTTGTGAAAACCATGCCTAGTCAACTGAACCTTCAAGTGAATTTGCAAAGCTTGCAACTTACATCTTGTTAGTCTTAGTTTGAAAAGCCATTTGCAGAACATGGTCTAAAAAAATTTCAGTTTGTTCAGAAATTGACATCATTTCAGAGGTTTTTAAATTGAAAACAAATTACCCCAAATTTAACTCATAATGCTCTATTATCTTTGTATATTTATGATACAGAATTCAAGAAACCTCCCAAGGACAGATTCGAATGATCATTTTATTCTTTGTACTCTAGGAAAGGTCATTAGTACATCAGATATCTACTTTATCTATACCAGATATCCGTGGAATATGGCAGTCTTTGTAAACTTGTCTGTGGAACAGAATTCTCTTTTTGATAATTTTTCAGTCTCAGCTTGCAAAAAGCCAGTTTTATTGGTATGCAAGCACGTTAAAAGAGCTTCTAAAATAAATCCTTTCTCTCAAAAACAACTGTCCAATAAAACAAAACAAAAAGGCAGTAATGTCCAAATTCCAAGGGGAAGTGTGACCTAGCGGTTAGGGTTCGTGACTCATGATCAGAGAGTCAGGGGTTCGATTCCAGCTGCTGGCCATACGTTGTGTCCTTGAGCAAGCCACTTCACCCCCACTTGCCTCTCTCCACCCAGGAGTATAAATGGTTACCAGCATTAGCTGGGGAGTAACCTGCGATGGACTAGCATCCCATCCAGGCGGAATGGAAATATTCTCAGTCGTTTCATGCCACTGAAACCGGAGATAAAAGCCGGCCTGATAGGCCATATTGGCTCGGGACAGACTTAATTACATACTTACTATGTCCAAATTCCACTATGTTAGGGTTGCAAAGACTACCATACTTCACATAAGAATCAAGTTGGCACTTTTAAGGATTTGCAGACGCACACAATCAGCAAACATAGGACTGCTAAGGCCAGTCTAATTCCAGAGATGTCGCTGTACATGAACATGATGAACTGAGGCAGTTTTCTTACGAATCTCCCTGATTCCCCTAAAATCCACTAATTATCGAAAAAAAATTAGCTCCTTGTTTGGGTTTCACACTTTGGAGTCAGAGTGGCTTGGTTCTGCCTTCTTAAACCTCGCAGAAATGTCTATGAACCCGCCCCAGCAAATTTGGAGGAATCTGGGAGGAAAGGAGGTTGAAGTGGGATTTGTGTACCATCACCTCAAAAAAAAAAGAATTCTCGCATTGTATTGAAGTTATGACCTGTTTCCATATCACCACGGCAGAAAGTGAAATGGAAAACAACAGAATTTGGAACCGAATTTGGCAAACTTCACAAAAGGTGTCAGTGATTCTAGAATTTCAGTCAAAAAACACGGCAGTGGCATCTCTGAAATTGACTAAATTAATCACGGCAAGATTTACAGGGCACATCATGCAGGCCATATAGGAAGGGAGACTTTAAAGAAGATAATATAATATAACTTTTCAAAAAAGAAATACTTGCTTTTGGGGACGACTGTGGGATAATAATGATGGAGAGCAAAATAAAGCAAAATTAACTTTCAATTTCACTTAATCAAAATTTATAAAATAAGTAACAAACTCTACTTGTTTTTCCAAAATTGGATACAGCACAAATTGTACACAGGAATACTTTTCACTAAAATTTGAACGAAAAACAATAAAAATGAAAATATGGATTTCACATCCAAAAAAAAAAAAAAAATCTGCTGACATTGGGAAGCTACCGGTAATCATCCTTACTCGCAGCTGAGAAGCTGAATTGCGAAGGACACGCCTACAACGTGTTCAAACCGCAGGCATGTAAAGGCGCCTTAGGCAGCCAGCCATACGACCCATGTATGACCACAGAGCACAGCCAGAGATCGAATGTGTTTGATTTTTTCGGAGGGAGGAAAACCGGAGGGCCCCCCGGAAAAAAACCCTCGTGGCACAGGAGATAATCAACGAATAACTCTACTCGCATATGGTCCAAGCCGGGAATCGAACCCGAGCCACAGTGATGAGAGGCGAGTGCTTTACGCACTAGCCACCCATGCCAAGTACTTGTTGCTCATTTTTTCAGATATCTTGTTTCCATTTTTTGTGCATATTTTTTCTGGGGTTAAAACTTCCAATACACTGCTACAATTTGAAACTCAACAAGAACATGTTCATGAATGAAAGAAACCATATGACAACTGAATGTTAAATGGACACAGACATTTACCCACAATGCAATGGGGGAAAAATGTTAGCAGAAAACCGAAGACATACAAACCTGTCTCTGCGGAGAAACCTTGATGAGAGAAATAACCATGACAACCAGATTGAAGAGAAATTGAAAACAGAACAAATGTGAGACACGGCACATGTACAAAGTAGACATACATGTACTTGAAAGACTAAGGTGATTATGGGATTTGTGTGAATTGTTGCCTTTAACTCCAGAGTAAATAGTGCCAAATGTGACAATTTTTTTATTGTTATACATTTGCTGCCATTTTGCATCATGCATCTACATGAATGTGTTCCTCTTTTGGCGATCAGCTCACAGTGTTTAGGAATCCAATTCATGCCAATAAGAATGAACACGAATATAAACAACGGATTAAAAATCACTTCCTAATTCCCAAAATTCCACACTCTCTTTCCAAATTCACATACACGTAGGATTTACTCAAAACAATCCAAAATCATATCGTGTTCTTGTATGATGTGAGATTGGATTGCAATGAGCTAATACAAGATGTTAAGGGGAACTGGGATGAAATGTAGAAATTTAAAGCTACACTGTATAGTCCATCATTTGCAGCCATCCGAAAAAGTAACTGGCGTATTATTGTTGAAAAACATACTTGGTTGAAAGATAGTAAGTGGACTAAGCTCCCTGTGAAATTAATCTTTCTGGCAAGCTATCATTTTGAAGTAATCAACGAAAGAAGGTCTTTCCATCGTAGGATCAGTGCGCGACATCGCCTATAGCTGCAATTCAAAACAATTCAAAACATGATTCAGCAACTTTTGATTTGAAATTGAGATCCTAGAATGCTGTTTTTTCTCGGAATATACAGCTGAAGCTGAGTTGAAACTTCATCAGGTTAGTTGTTCAGTATCCTTCTTTAGATTTTGAACACTTTTGTTGCTTCAAACAAACAAAATACACAAATTACAAATGATGGACTATAGCTTTAAACTCGGTGAATGACCGCATACATTCCGAATGCAAAAACACATCATGTCCTATCCCAGTGACAGAAAACAGTCGGGTACATTTGTCAGGCTATTCCAGTGTGAGGATTGAATTTTAAATTGGCTTAGCTGGGCGTGAGCCAGTGTATGCGTGCCTTACAGTTTGCCGTACACATACGTGTATGTGCCCTCCGGCACATACTGAATGTAGGTCGCTCTGTGCCCTCCCAACAGTTGTTGCACAGATCCCACTGGGGGTTGTGTAAAAGGGTAATGATCAGGTGATGATGTGGGTGAGATTTTATCGACCGACAACAACATACAGGAGTAAGAAAAAGACAAACAGCACGACGTTGAGGACGTGAGGGAGTGTAAAAACAGAAGGGGCTCAGGAATAAGGTTAAAAGTTGACAAATATTGGACAAAACGTGACACGGGAAAAACCTCAGAACATACATGTAGACAAACAGTTAAGCAGTTGGAATTATTACAAGTGAAACTGAAAGATAAACAACTAGTTTGAGAAGGAGAGAAAACAAAGTGGTAAATAACCTGAACTCAGCAAGGTACACTTATGAAATCTTTTTGAAAAATAACACAATGAAATTAAATAATCTAGTAAAAAAAAAAAATACAGTGAAAGTAAATACAACCCAATAAATGTTTGATTAAATATGGCTATTAATATCGGTTTATTACAACAGTAAAGAAAAGATTAATTGTCAGTAAACTCAATTAGCAAGATATTAACGAACCTTTTCTGTGAGGTGCTTCGGTTTTATTGTGACAAAGTCAGCACCAATTGTAATTTTTTTAGTAATTATCATATTACCAGATGTGATTACTGAGTGATATGGTGCTCAATTCAATTTGTTTATGAATTTGAAACTCAGCCGCTATGGTGTGAAAATGAAATTTTTGGTGGGATAAACCAGATGTGTGTGGCTGTGAAAATCTGATTCTAAAAATGCCAGAAAATGAGAAGTTTGCTTTCTATTAACTACACATGTAGCAAAGCAATGATTTTTTTTTTAATATTTAAAAACTTCCAAGAAAATATGGATAGTTTATGTTGAAAAGCATTTTCGGAATATTGAAAACAAGTTCATGAGATGGAATTTAAATGGTTAACTGACAGTGTCCTTCTATTGATTTTTGTTTAAGTTGGAGACGTTGGCTTCTAATGCCAGCTGTCTCCTATATTCTCATCTTTTTACCTTTGGCCCTTTGGAAAAGTCGTAGACCTCATCAATATCAATGTCATCAATGTCATCATCAGTGTCACCGTAGTAATGTTTCTTGTCTTAAGACTTAGCTATGTCTTACATCTTACCTCTTTCTCTCCATGTTGTTTGCGCTGTTTCTTCTGCCTCCTTACAACTTCGTGATCCTAGGAGCAAGCATGGCCAAGAAAAAAAAACATTTGAAGTATTGGGAAAGAGATAACACAGATACCTACCCTCAGCAAAGAAGTTATATGGCTTCCCCATTTCAAGGACTTAGTGAGGTTATGTGAAACAAAATCATGAACATGATTTGAGCCAGAAATATTATTACATCGATATAAGTGATAACAAAACCCTCCATTCATTCAAAAATAAATAAGACAAACTAAAGGAGTCATCAATGTCAAAGGAATATTAAAAAAATGTTAACAAAACACTATTAGGCCAAAAAAAAAAAGTCTCCAGTTTCTGGTATGCGCGCGCGTCGCTGTAGCCATGCGCGTCGGCAAAATGAAAAAAAAAAATTTTCAATGAAAGATGATGTCTCAAAACCGCCAAACTCACTGGTTTGACTGGAATCCTGCTGCTGCAAAATTTTAATGTATTTTTAGATGGAGTTATGGTCGAGAATAAGCTTTATGTGGCCTCTCTGGACTCCCAATCCCATATAGGCCTATTTGTACTAAGTTTAGTCGGGCACCATTTGCAGTCATCACACGGCATTTGAAGCAAAAAAGTCAGGTAAAAAAAAAAAAAAAGCCGCGTCGCCGCACCACTTTTTGGGCTCCATACCAGAAACCGGAGACTTTTTTTTTTGGCCTTAGCCCCCTACACATGATTTCATGTAAGATTAGGCCAAAGTTTAACCAACAAATAACAGCCAATGGGAAAGTATGTGAGTGAACCAATAACCTGTAATCAAAGGAACTAGAGAAAAATATTTAAAATATCTAGTTTTAGTATTTTTGTTCAGTTAATTCATCCATGTACATACCACCAACTGTAAATAGTACAAGTAAGTCTATTTGTCAAATATTACACAGAAATGCATACTGGTAAGGTACATACAGTATCAGAGGAATATGAATTATTGTGAGTTTGTATTCAAATATTTCGATATTTGACAGAAGTTTCGATATTTGACAAAATCTAAAACTGTACTTCATTAAAGGCAAGCCATTAACATACAAGATCCCGTCTTGTCTCTAACTTATGTACATATACCGGGTCCTTGCTTAAGCTTTATCATATGTAAACAAGTATCTATTTTAAAAGATGGAAGAAATATCATCAATTCTGCAATCTGCAGCATATTAGGTAATTCAAGACTTTGCACAAGATGGGTTAATCATAAAAAGCAACTTGAGCTAAGCTCTTTCCTTATCTAAATAAGAATCTGATGTTACAGATTTGAAAAGTCTTGACAGTGACAGTAAATGATGAATGCAATCATTATAGATGCAATAAGCCTATCTGGATGCATTAATGAGGGCTCTACCGTCTCTGTCTTACAAATGGTTTATTTGATTAGTGGGGTGGTGACAAGCAATGAATGCCAAATGGCCGAGGTGCGTTAAAAATTACATGCATGTAACGAGCTTGCAATTGTGCAGGGTTCAAATACTTGTTCAATGAAGCTCTACCGTACATACATGTACAAATGTACATGTACATGTACATTACCGGTATGTCATGTACATGTAGTAACACAGCTTTGAATGCAGGGCCACATGGATCACTACATGCAGTGGTAAGAAAAGTTGTTTGCTGTAGCACCATGTGGTAAATCTCTTTTTGAAAGCAAGCCAGTCAGTCTCCTGGCGACGGGATGTTTGAAACATTGACTTCCCTCCGGTTCTTTTCAGAACCACACATACTCACAAAAGAGATTTACCACATGATGCTACCGCAAACAACTTTTCTTAAATTACCTTTTCACCATGTAAAAAAAATACATGCATGGCAGCATTCGCCACAATTGAAATGCTTTTTTTTGTGGGCCGTTCCCCAAACTTGTCTTTGTTCAAAGGGCACTAGTCAAAAGCCATAAACCAGTATGCCATGTACAATGTACATGATGTAGCCTGGGATCCCGCCCAAAGTATTGGCAATGCTGCAAACCTGAGAAAAAGCAAATTTGGATCAGTCACTCAAAGAGGATACCGTACGGCTTTTTATTACAAATTTTCAAATAAGCCACCAAGAGAATCTTACCCATGGTACTTGGGGTAGGAGGGGGTCCCATATGTGTGACGTTGGATACGGGAAGTCTATGATTAAGAAGACGACGATCAACTTTTAACAGAGATGAGGGAGGGTATGAACTGTCACACATATGGCACCCCCCTCATACCCCAAGTACCACCCCGGGGGAGGATACAAGCGGCCAGACCACCATCTAGTGGCCGCAACAGGCAACAGCGCCACCAACCGACTGGTGGTGCTTTGTTCTGAAGATGACTAGTGAAACTAGTCGAAACGTAAATGAAACTACGTTAGTAATTGGCTGTGTTTATAGAAAATTCATTTACAAAGTTGAAATTTCCAACCAGCCTGATGAATTTCTTTCATCAGATTCAGCATGGCCAGGTGAGAGTGGCCCAATTGAAATTTACACCCTTTCACTTAATTGATTGTGTTTCTGGATCTAGGGACCCAAATGGAATGTGGTAAAAAGGAGTGGATTGAGAAATAGTCAGGCTTTAATTAATGTAATATGTACATTGTGATTTCATTGAAGAAAAATACATTAAACAGTTTTAATTATTTGTTTTATCGGTATATAGTATACATCTGTTTGTAACCCTCACACTGGTCAATGCAGGTAACTACAGTCCATGTATACACATGTACACTGCGAGCTGGATAGCCTACAATTGGAATTCCTTAAATCTCCATTATTCCGTAAACAATTTATGCATACCAGCACAAATGTACATGTAGGCAGTTACGTCTGACTGTTTTTCAATACTACTCGGTACTTGTGACTTTTGAAGAGTATTATAAACCATTCACAAAAATCTGTTTGCAGTTTGCTTCAAGGGAGTTTGAAATTTACATAAATGAGTGAATGGATAGATGTACAGTCAGAACAATCTTCTAAAAAATCTTTCAAAAATAAACATGCACCTGAAAATGTAAATTGCAAACATGTATTTTGGCTACACAAATGTACTGTTTGCTCATTTGATAGAAGAATTCTAAGCCAACATGCATATCTGTGCTGTACTGAATAATTCTTTATAATAATTAAAATGGATTAGCCTGACGGAGATTATACGCTTAGCAAGTTATGGTGCTGAATAAAAATCTGCTGGGAACCAGTCACAGGCCACAATGAATGACATTTTGGCCGGTAACTGTTTTCCATGCTTAGTGAAGGTCTGTGCTAATTAGGAGTTTTGCGAATCTGACACCTGATTAGCTACATATAGTATCCAGCAAGCATGCACAGTATCATATGCATTTTGGCAACATATATGGAAGGATCAAGTAACACTAAAATTTCTCTGGCATTTGTGAAATAATACAAGCATGCTTTATTTAACATCGTGCTTGCAGGCTGAACGGAATAATCCTTTGAGTGAGTGGTGTACTGCTCATAAGCATACTTGATGTCTGACAATCAAGGTCCCTCGCCTGACCCTCAGGCGTTCTGGACAGACTTCAATTAAAAATTAATGAAGTTGGCTCCCCATTGCACTAATTAGTCGGGGATATCATCAAACCCTGGAGGTAACAAGTGTGCGTGAAGGATTTCACCCTGCAAATTACATACATGTACAGTATGTACACTGCATGTACATGTACTTCGGGTTCACTGACTTTCATGTGTATTATTTTGTGCAAATGAACTTTAGGTAAATGTAGGGCATTGACCACGCATTCAGTCATGAATCAACAGGCAGCAAGATGCAGCATGCACATAATGCATCATGAAACCATTCTGAATTGTAAATGTAGAAAAACAAGATGCAAAAATAAAATAAGAAAATATTAAAGTTTTGTCTATAATGACTGAATACCTTAAAATAATTTAACAGCAAAGCACCTATACATGTATCCATGGAGACTGTGTAGTGATTGTATAGTTTGAAACTTTCTAATTTACATGTACTTGATTTATTCCTTAACCCTAACAGAACTCAACCCATCAAACCCCAACAGCATGTATTGTTGGAATCTGTCAGGATGGGTACAGTGCCCCTGAACTGACAGTCTTTTACATTGGGTTGGCACACCTCCAGAAAACTAAGTCAGAAATATGTGTGCGCAGTTTCCCATATGGTGTTGGAATTTGCCAGGATGGGTATGGTTCCTTGTAAATCATGCTAGGGAGTTAGGGTTACAGATGAGAGAGGTCAATGTCAAGCAACTTTTAAGTCACCAGGGCAGCATTAATTCCCAGGGTTCATATCTGGGCCTGTGGATCAGCAAGGTCAATGTCAAGCAACCTTAAAAGGATCCAGGGTAGCATTAATTCCCAGGGTTCGTATCTTGGGCCTATGGATGAGAGATATCAAGATCAAGCATGATAAGAGGATCCAGGGTATCACTTATTCCCAGGGCTCATTTCTTAGCCTCCAGATAAGACAGGTCAAGGACACAAAAGCTTTGCGATCCAGATTAGCATTAATTCCCAGGACTCGATCGTGGACATGTGGAAAAGCGGTCAAATTTAGACAGGCTTTGAGGATCCACGATGGCATTACATGTACATTGTAATCCCCAGGGTTCATATCTGACCCTATGGATCAGAGAGGTCAAGATCAAGCGAGCTTAAAGGATCCAGGGTAGCACTTACTCCCAGGTCAAGGAAATTGATTCTTTGTGTTCCAGGTCAGCAGTAATTCCCAGGGCTCAATAATATACATGTTGGAAGAGAGGTTAAAATAAGACAGGCTTAGAGGATCCAGGTTAGCATTAACACCCAAGGCTTACTTTTTTTATATGGATGAGACAGGTCATACGGATGAGGGAGGTCAAAGGTCAGACAAACTTAAAGCATCCAGGGTAGTATTAATTCCCAGGCTTAGAGGATCCAGGGTAGCATTAACACTCAATGGGAGAGGTCATATGGATGAGAGAGGTCAAGGTCAAACAAAATTAGAGTATCCAGGGTAGTATTAATTCCCAGGCTTAGAGGATCCAGGGTAGCACACCGGTATAACATCAATGCTTACTCTGGATGGGAGAGGTCATATGGATGAGAGAGGTCAGGTCAAACAATTTTAGAGCATCCAGGGTAGTATTAATTCCCAGGCTACCAATATCCCATGACCATGAGAGAGATACAAAATCTAAAGATCCAGGGCAGTATTAATTCCTGGAGCTCATTCCTGGGCCAAATTGGGAGGAAACCCTATTCTTCATATGGCCTTCATGTATAAAAATTCAGTCCAGTCCCAGGTACAGATAAGATGTCATGGTCAGGAAAGTTACAAGATCTAGGGTAGCATTAATTCCCAGGGTAATATTAATTCCCAGGCTTCATTGTGCTCTGCAAGGAGTAATAAAAATAACCTTGAGCATTGATGAACAACGACAACAGACCTTACAATCTTTCAGACAATGACACATGTATACAGTAATGAGTATTAGGCAGTGACGCCAAGCATTGATCTATAGAAAGCAATTTTGCACAAGGCCGGTAATGACTCAGCATGATGAATGTGCTCATTAATATCATGCATAATGGAATTGCTATGGTAAAAGGTTCAAGGAATATGTAGGACGCTTTGCCCTATGGATTCTAACAGTGTTTATCTGCAAAGGGCAAATTTAAACAAGATAATTTTACATCTCCCCGATGAAAGTCTGGGGGCTTTGTTCTACAATTTGTTCAGTGTTCAAGTTAACGTTGACCACGAGAACTCTTATTAAACAATTAGGTATAAAGCCACACTGTGAACATGTTTGGTACCGTATTTTGACTCATGGATTTAAATATGTTAAACATTTAATACAAAAATACATGCAGACTGTATATTTGTTTAGTTACCCCACAATTAAATCTGTGATGTTGTTAGTTGATGTGGATTTGAATACCATTAGTCCAAAGTTAAGTTGTTAACAAAACAATTGTGAGCAAAATAATACTGCAAATGAATTTCTGCTTTGTTTTGTGCAACATTGATACTAGATGGGATAATTTCTTTTTCTTTGACACTACTTTGAAAAAGCAGATCACTTAAAAGAGGAAAAATTAATGAGCATGGAGATGAACTGCTAATTCAACAGAATACACTTGTTAATATTTCTGATAATTTTTTTTTTCCACTTAAAAGTGGACAAATTAATGTGCATGAAGATGAACTGCTAATTCAACAGAATACACTTGTTAATATTTCCGATAATTTTTTCCAATGAAACTCACCTGTGATCTGGCGATACCATTAATATACATTTCTCTGATCTGTGGTGTAAATCAAGTCATGCATTCTAAACGTCAAAATTTCATTCAACTTGGAAATTTTAGTTCGTAACCAGTAAAACTAATTTTGCACTGAAAATGTATACTGTATTAAAAAAATAATAATTTTTTCATGGACACATTTTTTTGACTTAAAAGATGTCCTTAGACTTGCACGTTGCCTACAATGAATTTAGCACTTGTGATCATGGGTGAGCCAGTTAAAAAAGATAATTTAATACATTTACCTTCCAATAAAAGGAGTAAAGAAAAACATTACTATTAGTCATTCTTACTCTTATTGCTAAAATAATAAATAAACTTCCCAACGAAAGAGAAAATAATATAGCAAGTCCGAAAAAAAGTTGCATGCAACATCATGAGCAAAAGTTCTCAAGCCGTCTTTGCCCTGCAATGCGTAACATACTGAGGCCAATTTCATGGCGCTGCTAATCACAAAAATTTGCTTAGCACAAAACAGTATGGCTTAGTAAGAGTAGGTTACCAGCCAAAACTTCATGTGATTTTCATGCTAAGCAAAGAGCAGCTGAATACCAATCACAGGCAATATACATCACGAGAAAATTTGTTTGGTAATCCTGTTTTTGCCAAGGAAGACTTTTCATGCTAAGCAAATTTCTGTACTCAGCTCCATAAATTGTCCCCAGGTCTCACTGCAATCTATAGCAATTTATAAGCAGAAATGATTGCCAAACAAAATATCTGTGCTTAGCTACAAATCTGCTGCAGACCCATCACAAGAAATCTGCTGCAGACCCGTCACAAGAGATGTATTCCCCCTGGATGAATTTTTGGCTACTAATTAAAAAAAAAAAGTGGCCAAGCAAAAAATGTTTTCTGTGCTCATCAATTTCCTGAGCTTCACCAATCAGCCCAAGTCCTTACACTGCAGAAACCTAATCCTGCTACGGCCTCTATTGTACTGTACATAGTGAGCTGTCAGAAGAAAGCTGTCTAATTTATGCTATAAAATTGATTTATTTTTTTTATTAAAGAGTGCACACTAAAAAAACCCACCTGTTTGAAGTATTCATATGCACATGTAATAATTCATTGCCAAAATGTACGATGCTACGACACTAATGTTTGACATAAGTGTACACTGTGTAAATATGGAGACCCGCTTCCCCCCCCCAAAAAAAAAAGGGAAAAGGAAAAAACATTTTTGTTGTCTGATTTGTTGCATTGGCTAATTTTCCAAGTTTATTTCAATGACAGCTCCTCTGTCATTTACAGTGGTCCACGGAAAGGTATGTACATGTATTGAAGCATCAAGGCCAGGGTTAATTTCACAACGTTTCAAAGCTCAAATCTTTCCAGGCAAAACTCAAGGCAAGCAGCAGGCAAACAAGAGACCCATTCTATGCGACTCATGACACAAATAACCACAAAACCTACGTCTTCATTTTCTAGTTCGCTATCGTAACAATAACTGTACTCAGTTTCACAATACAGAGACAATCGGACGTTGGTGGATCGTTTCTGAAAAAAGCAACACAAAATTACTGATATTTCATTCTTATTTTTGTCTATTGCTGTCTGCTGAGTTAAAAGACTCCAACCAACGTAACTGTCACAAGAGATAACTTCTCCCTATTACAAGGGAGAGACTATTTCTCGAATATATTGATTTCCAAACATTGATTTACTTGAAAGACTTGGTATTTTTTTGGCACAAAATCAATTTCAACCCTTTCAAAATATCAGGAGATCAGCCAGAAAGACTAGTTTGCAAACATTTTCTCATTTTTTAGCTTTTTTCCAGGTGGTACTAGAAGGCAAAGAATCTGTTTCCAGATCATTCCAAAGAAATTAAAGTCCACAGAAAAGGTGAAAAATCCCTTCAGAAATTCAGAAAATCTGAAATAAAAAAAAAACTTGCACTGGCTGGAAACCTATGCCGACACGTCTCAACTTTATTAAGCTGTGTGACATGCTCGTGAGCAGGGTTCCACTTAAAAAATGTCTTCTAAATTTATTCACCAGATTAGTCTATGGGCTCCGTGCACATGTACCGATGCCTTCAAACAGTAAGAAAGGGCGATTTGGGGGACACCACTGAAAGAGACATTTGAACACTTTGCCGACGTCTGACACTTGGCTTTGTGCACATTCAGAAAAAAACAAGTCGTGCGTACTTTGCGCGTGAACCAGTGTGTGCACGCAGTGCGCCCCGTCCACAGGGCTCGCAAACGCGCTAAAAACGCGCCCTCTCTTGTTCGCACACGGAGACCACAGGCGAGTGAAATTCTGAGCCAAGCCGCTTTCAGATCAGCAGCTGTTGCCAATTTATAGCCATGGGGCAATTAGCAGCTAACAACTTACCGGTCCATCAAGCCAGCATCGGATCAGAATGGCCAAGTAGAAATAGAATATCAGCAAGGCTCCCGGGTTGACGTAGACCCACCAGCGTTGGCCGCCGACAAAGTCGATCATCCGCGGCTCGTCACACTCCGTGGCATCGATAATAGCTTTCAGTCCAAACAGTCTGGGATAACAAAATGAGCATTAATTAGTTGCCATTCGTGATTTCCGCTTTTTCTTTTTTAGTGGAACATTGAGAACTATGTACAGTAATTCACCTATCGCGGTAAATCACATTACAATCGTGTCAACGCAGCTTGTGAAATGTTGTCCAATTACATGATATACAAATGGAGACAAAATGCAAAATTGAGACAAACAAAGGTTGGTGTACAAAAACTCCATAGGGTTGTCTAAGGGGCGTGGCTAACTCGCAAACAGCGATAGGTCAATTGTGGCTTGGGTCTAACTTCCTCAATCCTGCAAAAACCTCCAAACTGCCTGATAGATATTGGTGAAACAGTTAGGGTTTGGACCCAAATTCCTCCAAAACTTACAGATTGGTTTGCAAGATTTGTCACTATTTTTATTAGTATCTGTTTATGTCCATTTCCAACAAAACAAGTAAAGGAATTGAAGTTCAGATATGAAACTGGTAGTTGCTACAAGTTATGCCCATTTATTTATTATTTTTTTGCTTTACATGTATGCAAAGGAGTCGTAAATTCAATTTAGCTGTCACTTGATTCACTTTTTACTTCTAATAATGGCCCTAACCCTAACCCTCCTCAATCCTCCAAAGTCCTCCAGGCGGTTTTGGAGGATGAAGAATTGAGGCAGTGGGTATCCTTCATGTGAACATAGAGTGCATGTAGGCCTACACGCAAGTGCAAAATTAGATTGTGGATGGTTCCTAGCAAAAAGGGTCTAGCAGGTTAGGGTTACCAAAATTTCAGCAAGAGAGGGGGAATCTTGCTGTTAACCCTAACCATCCAAAATCCTCTTTGCAAATTGGAGGAATTTGCAGTGATTGAGGCTATACATGTACATGGCAAAAGTGTGTTGCTGATTTCCTAAGACACACTGTGTCAAGGTCTTGGGCCGGACCTTGTGTTGTTTATGCTCAGCTGTGCATAAATTTAGGCCTTGATTATACTTGAAATCCTCCACACTGAACCAGGATGTCACTGGCTCTTCCTCAACATATTGACAGTGATTGCTGGAGGATGTTGCAGGATTGAGGCAGTGGTCAACCCCCAAAGACCACATTCAAAAAATAACAGAGGATTTTGCAGGATTGAGGCTATATGCTATTTTACATGAAGGCAGTTGGAGGATTTTGCAGGATTGAGGTCACATCCTAGCAAAAAATAATGCCTAGAGAGTTAGGGTTAAGAAAGTATCACTATTGCAAACAAGTCTGGAAAAACTGCACAAATATAATTGGTGTTTACATTTTTGTTGCAGATTTTGTTCAAGATTGACAGGTCTCTTCACTGAGGCTTCATGTAATTCTTGGTGAATGACAACAGTCATTACACTTTTTCAAGGTCATCACACTTTACTTAAAACTGGCGAGGTGGAAACTGTTAATTTACTTTTGATCAGCCAGCCATTCCTGTTGTTTCCTCGGTACACAACTTTCTCATTTGACGTGATACACGTTACACTTCAGAGGCAAAAACATTGACTTCAACATGTACACGTACTATAACACTGCGGGTGTCTTTTCCTAGCATATGGTCCAATTAAGCTAGCAGACTGATGTCTAATTTAATCCAGTATTAAGTTTACTGTGGCATGAAAAATATATCTTTAATGCACACACTATCCATGAAATTATGTGATATTTAATCTTGTTCTTATTTTTTCATGAAAAGTGCAAAGACTTTAGTTTAATACATTACCAATATGTGAGCCAAGTACAAATGTAGGCGTGTATTGTTAGAGTGAAACGGCACAACATAATGTGTGAAATCAATAAAATTGTAAGAAAGCATGTGAGTTTAGTTTTAGAGCCAGAAATGAAAGTAAACACATGTGCTTAAATGAAGAAAAATATTGTTTGGGCAGGCCAGTAAAAAAAAACCCCAGAAATTGGACAAGTTTGTTGATATGATGTACAGCTGCAATTTTTTTCCTCATAAATTATTTACAGAAAAGTCTACATAAACATATTGTAAGCCAGTGGTTTTAATAACAGATTAAAAAACATATGAGCTTTCAAACGACTGAATTGGATCAAATGGAACACAGAGCAATTTATATGTACGTGTACTTTAAACAACTGCATTGAAAACAATATGCTTTTTCAGATATCCTTCAAAAATGCAGTAATACTGTATAGAAATAAGGACTGCTTTCGTTACTCAATGTACCCAAAGACTATCCTGGAATGGAATCAACTTCACCCTAACATCCGCTCTGCTCCTGACATTAAGACTTTCAAACTGGCACTGGACAACATCAACATTCAAGACCTGGCTTCCATAACCCAATCAAGAACTCACACTTCTAATTATAGCTGACCCTGACCAACGTACAATGACAACCTTCTAGGCGTTTGTATGTTTTGGAACAGAAACAGAAACAGAAACAGAAAAAAATACAAAAACTGGCATAAATTCACCTTTTTTGAACATACAGGTACATGTAGTCTGTCCAAACTTGAAACCTTAAAAGACTTACAACAATTACCCTCAAAGATGGCTGGTCAATAGACCATTATCATGTTGCGGCCATCTTGATTTTTCCCATTCAAATCAACGTAACCAAAGCGAGGCTGGAAGGAAAAATAGTCTGGTTCCTTTTCGCAGAAAAAACATTCATCATTCAGTATTGTTATTGGATGGAAGGAACATGACTGAAATGGTTGCAGCACGATAAAGGTCTATACAAACAGTACATAAATGCAACTATTGTAAATATACCTACTGTATTTTCATTTGTTTTTAATAAAAAAATATTGATAGAATATGGACTGGTATTTTGCCTGACACAATGCGCTGCTTTTTAAAAACAAACAATTTTGTAAAAATTGATATGGTTAGTCTGCATCTCATTTTGACAATCAAGTAAATTAGGTTGGACGAAATTCCAATAGATTAAATAAAGTTCCCCACCTGGCGTAGAGGTTCTCTGGTGGTAACCCCTCCTGAAAGAACGGAAACTGGTAGAGGTACAAGGCGAAGATATGAGCGCCGCAGTACAGCAGCCAGACGATGCACACATGGTAGAACCGCCGGCCCCACGACCGGTAGAATGACCACCAGGTGATGACCACGAGGAAGGTCACGAAGTAGAAGCCCGAGGTGGCCGAAGGGCAGATGACCGCCGCAAACGCGCACAGCAGCATGGCCAGAAACGACTGCAAACCCTCAACGACTACCGACTTGGGCCTGGTGCGTCGTTCCACCACCTCCCCGCCTCCAGCGCCTTCCGCGGACTGTTGGCTCTCCTCGGAGGGTCTGGGCGGGGCAAAGAGCTTCTTACAGATGACGAAGACGATGATGGTGACGATGAGAACGACCACATCGGGGAGGATGAGGCGGCACACCGACGCAGCAGATAGCTCGTTCAACCTGATGATTCGGTGAAAATACATTTCAAAAGTGAAATGTGTACACAAACATCACAGAACTTTTCAGTTTTCACTTCATAAAATAATACTGACTAAATTGTTTTTTGGTACTATTGTAAACATTAGTAAGTTTGCTTGAAGGTTTTCTTTAAAGATTTCCCTCTATATATTGAGCCACTAAATAGTGAATATTGATTTCAAAATTAGTTGATAAGGTCAGGCTATGGTTGTTCCTCAATTACACATACATGTATTTGGCTACGGCTAGCTGTGCCACACGTGTCTATGAGAAGTGGCTGCAGCCATTTTCATATGCACTTGTGTAATTGCGGCCACAGCCAAGTAATACGGCTGTGGCTATGCTAAATGTACAAAATGTAAAGTACCGTAGTATTTGCCGTAAGGCAGAATGAGGCCAAAAAAAAAAATAGTTCTGCTTCCGATTACATGGCATTTGAAAATAGAAGTAGGGTAGGTAGGGATTATTTTTTTTTTTGTGCAAATTTTGTTTGTGTACGATTATATGGAAGCTTCAGCGTGAAGTCAAGGGTAAAAGGTAGAAATTGATGGTTTTGGGTGTTATTTTCTCATTTTTCCAATAAAAAAATTAGGGTACGGGCTGTCAGAATAGGGTTAGTAGGGAAACCGGAAGCAGAACTATTTTTTTTTTTGGCCTGAGTTATGATGTCTCTTACGCCTGATAGCCAAGCTGTCTCCATATTGGCTCGGTTCCATTGCCTAGGATAAGAAAACAGATCATTAAATATTCATTAGTCTCTAGAATATGCGAAGCTGATGGCAGAGTCTCATTCTCATATTTAAATTTTTTTTATACCTTGCAAAAATTTGGTAATCGCATTTCAAAATCCCACATGTTAACTTCATACTACACAACTAGGACACGTTATGTATATTGTATTCTGTTTAAAAAAAAAAAAAAATCGGTAGCAGGTCAAAAAAGGTTTTTTTTTTCTCAATATTGTTAAAACATAGATTAAGATCTTCCCCTCTGATGATTTAGTTTTTGAAAACAGACTTTCCATAATGTTGTCTCACAAAAGTGAAAAAAAAATGGTTTTTGAATTTCTTGAACTGCTAGAGATACCCTGTACAAATCTTTCAATAATCACCTTTAGAGGTACGATTACCTGCTTATTATGGTGTTCGGTACTTACATAAGGCCCAGTTGTGTCCGTACGGAGAATCAGCGGCCAGGACAATTTGAAATACTGCCTGGGTGAGGCAGGCAAGGACGGCCAATACGAGGAGGATGATCAGGTATATCCCCGTCCTCCCTGGAGTGAGAAACAATCAGCAAATTATCAACTAATGATCAACAAATTATCAGCAAAATATCAGCAATCACCAGCCAGGGCTGTTTGGAAAATTGCATTTGTGAAGCAGGCAAGAAGAGCCAATATGAGGAGGATCAGGTACTGTATATCCCGGTCCTCCCTGGAATAAGAATCAATCAGCAAATTATCACCTTGTGATCAACAAAATATCAGCGAAATATCAACAACAACTATTTGACTTATATGGCCCGAGTGAGGTAGGCAAGGAGGGCCAATGTGAGGAGGGTGATCAGGTATATCCCTGTTCTCCCTGGAGTAAAAAACAATCAGCAAATTATCAACCGATGATCAACAAAATATCAGCGAAACATCAACAATCAGCAGCCGGAATAATTTGAAATATGGGCCGAGTGAGGCAGGCAGGGAGGGCCAGTATGTGGAGGGTGATCAGGTATATCCCGGTCCTCCCTGGAGTGAGAAACAATTAGCAAATTATCAACTAATGATCAACCAAATTTCAACAATCACCAGCCACACTCATGGCACGAGTGAGGCAGGCAAGGACGGCCAATACGAGGAGGATGATCAGGTATATCCCGGTCCTCTCTGGAGTGAGAAACAATCAGCAAATTATCAACCAACGATCAACAAATTATCAGCAAAATAGCAGCAATCGCCAGCCAGGGCTGTTTGAAAAATTGTATTTGTGAAGCAGGCAAGAAGAGCCAATATGAGGAGGAGGATCAGGTGCTGTATATCCCGGTCCTCACTGGAATAAGAATCAATCGGCAAATTATCAACTAATGATCAACAAATTATCAGCGAAATATGAACAATCAGCGGCTGTGACTATTTGAAATATGGCCCAAGTGAGGCAGGCAAGGAGGGCCAATGTGAGGAGGGTGATCAGGTATATCCTGTTCCTCCCTGGAGTGAGAAACAATCAGCAAATTATCAACTAATGATCAACAAAATACCAGCGAAATATCAACAATCAGCGGCCATGACTGTTTGAAATATGGCCCGAGTGAGGAAGGCAAGGAGGGCCAATATGAGGAGGATGATCAGGTATATCCTGTTCCTCCCTGGAGTGAGAAACAATCAGCAAATTATCAACTAATGATCAACAAATATCAGCGAAACATCGAGCAGCCGCAACTATTTGAAATATGGCCCGAGTGAGGTAGGCAAGGAGGGCCAATATGAGGAGGATGATCAGGTATATCCTGGTTTTCCCTGGAATAAGAAACAGTCAGCAAATTATCAACCAATGATCAACAAAATATCAACCAACTATCAGCAGAATATCAACACCAATCAACAGCAACAAGTAAAATATTGTTGGAGTAAAGCAGGTAAGGAGAGCCAATATATGCAATATTTTTTATAAGGAGAACGATCAGATATATCCCGGTCCTACGTAGAGTGAGAAACAATTGGCGAGTTACCAACAAATCAATGTAAGTCTGTTTCATCAACAAGATCTTAAATATCAGCATCTTACCGGCCATGTTGCGACGGCTTGGGTTTGGCATGAGGGGTAGCACCAATAGGCAGAGCAGATACACACCGGACAAGGCATTGTAGCGTAGTAGTGAAGCTGTAAAATACAAGAAAAAAATCTTAATTCTCTTACCTCAACTCTAGAATTACTTACCTGAATAAGATGGAATTCAAACAATGCAACATTAAAATAAAGACAATATTTCGGCTCGTCTCCAGTAGGTGACGTTCTGAACCAATATATGTTTGCCTCATGCAAAGAGTTATGTAAGAACCAATAATGTACCCAATTTATCAACTGAAAAAAAAATAAGCAATATTACACTTGTTCTGTAGTAAATAAAGACTGCTACGCTAAATGTGATGGACAATGTGTTAATTAGGCCCCCCCAAAAATAGTTCTGCTTCCGATTACATGGCATTTGAAAATAGGGTAGGTAGGTAGGGAATCTGCGTGTAGTCAAGGGTAAAAGGTAGAAATTGATGGTTTTGGGTGTTTTTTTCCTCATTTTTCCAATAACAAAATTAGGGTAGGGGCTGTCAGAATAGGGTAGGTAGGGAAACCGGAAGCAGAACTATTTTTTTTTTTGGCCTTATCAATGTACAATGTACTTGTATGTACGTTGTATACATTCATTGTGCAAGTACATGTATGTACCTACCCTTACATTCACAGTCGTTACAGTTTTAGACAAGTACAGTGCGTACTGTACATATGTATTTCAATGTTTACATTTTTTTTTTTGTATTTCAGTTGTACTTCAACATCTATGTACAACCTACATGTAAATGTAAATTTACAGTGTACATTACTAGATTGTTTAGTTATCAGGCATGCAACTGAGAATTAAGAAAAAAACGAGGAAACTCCAAACCACACAAGACTCTGTACAGTATTTTTCAATTTGTAATGGCATTCATGAGAAGTAAAAAACGAGGAAATCAGCGGATCCGAGGAAAAGTTGTATGCCTGAGTAATGCAAAAAAAAAAAATTAAGAAAATCCTTCAAAAAACTTTATTTTAACGGATCTAGGTTTTACATGCAAACTTGGTTTATAGGTTTGCTACATGCACATGATTTGCATATTGACTACAATACACTGATCTCACCAGTCAGAATCACTGGTCCAACCACAAAATAGAAGAGTAACCATGTAACGAAATATCTGGACAGGATCCAATCCTTGGTCTCCCGACACCAGCGGGCCGCGCCCCGAGAGGACTGCGCCCAGCTGGACTTGATGGATCGCCTGACCCGGCGCCACAGGTCTCGGAACGCAAGATCGCTCAGACTTTGTCCTGAGGTTAAAGTTGTTGTATCGTGGGCGGAGAGTTGATCGGGCTCCGTATGGGTACGGGCCGGCCGGGCTCGGTCATAGATGTCATACGACTGGTCAGCTGGCTCATGATTTGTCAGTTTGGTACCGCCACCGATGTCCATGGATGGATCCGTAAGGCTGTACTCACTCCCTCTGCCCGGTCTGGAGGTCAGATTCACCAAGTCCGCCTCATCAGCCGACGAGGCATCTGGACTGACAAGTGGGGTATACTTTCCTTTCGCTGTCCCAGCCATACTTTCCCTTAATTTTCATTCATTCAGAACAACCGTGTATCCTTTTAGGCTCCAGCTTTTGGTCCGCTTGGCCTTTGCGGCGTGACAAGCTTCCAAACTATCAGCATTCCTATATGTCAAGCAGGGAATACCTCTAGGGCTATTAATCACTGAAATGACAAAACATGGGCCTTCTCAAAGCAGCAGCTCCACTTTGTTTGTACACTTATTCATCAAGAGAGCTCAACTACTGCAACCAACCCGTTTCTCCACGAAGACAAACTGGTATCGCACCGTCTACATGCAAACTGCAAATGCTCACATGCAGAACCGGAGACTATCATGAGCCAACAATGCGTATTTGCCTATCTCCCAGCTTCTGGCAAAGTCCAACAACGTCAGGTGGCTTAGATATTATAAGCAAATACTAATTAAACACCAAGCCCCTGTGCTGTACACATGTATACAATTCAAAGTTCAATGTAAATTTGGTCTGCAGAAGCCATCAGATCGCCTCTTTCATCAATTTTGTCTTAAATTGGAGAACCACTGGGAAACCTTGCCTCAGGGATATCATCTGTCGGTGGTGTAATCCAGTGCTTGTAGGCCAATCAGCTTGAAGGTGGGCCTACTCAGGTAAGCCTGTTTGATACTATCTTGTCGGTTTGTGTGTGTGTCAAATGTGAACTGCGCAAAAGTGGCTGGCTTGTTTGTTTCGTTTTGCTGGTGGAAGCATTCGTTATGCTCACAAACGGTGGTTGTTTCGTTTTGTTAGTGGAAGCATTCGTTATGCTCACAAACGGTAAACACGGTGCAAACGTTACACATACGTGTGTGAAGTGTGGGTGTACAAATGTATGTACATTGTACAAGTAAAGCATACAGTCAACTAAATTACTAATTAAAAGTGCATATGTTCTCATTCTCTTAATGATTAAAGTAAGAAAATGTGAAAGGTTCGACTCCCAACCCATATTTCCTCCCTGTTTATTTTAAATAGCTTTTGGCAAGGGCTTAATTGTCAGTACAATCGGATGATTGGTAAAATGAGCAAACCGTTTTTATCCCCCATCAGATTCACTGAAATCCAATTCCAGTGTCGTGACCCACCCTGCTTTTATTTTTTTTCCAAGCAAATCAGTGCTTTTTATTGAAAAATAGGCAATCCCACACTAATGGGGCAAGTAGGTCAGTTTATGGATGTTGGATAACGGGTAAAAGATTAGCTTTTCATAAGTTTTTTTTCCCTACACCTTGCTAAGTTGAAAGTAACTCAAACAAGAAAATGCAAGAGATGATACTTATGTATATATTTTTATTTGAGTATATATCAGGTCTTTTTCTGTGTTATATGTACAGAACATGGACAGACACACTGCAAGGAAAAGGGTGCTTACATGGCTTAGGACAAATTCAGTTTCTAATACTACAGGCACTTTCATCGGACATTATCAACCCATTTACATTGCTACATGTATCAAGCAAAAAATATGACAGTTTTTGCACTGGCTTCAAAGTTATGATGTGATTAGGGTTACGTACGAACTTCACATTGACTCCGAGTTTTCTAGGTTTTGACTGATGGCATTCCTTCAGGGAACATCTTCTTAAATTTTATCAGACAACATTAGGGGATCATTAAATTATATGCTTACTTTGTGACTTTATCTAAAATGTCTGTCCTTCATTACGTATACCTGTATAACACTTTTTAAAACAATATGCGCCATATTTTCTAAAAATATAAAACCAGTTGGTCCTAAACCCTTTGCAGGTGAGGATATTTGTTCAGAGCTTGCAATGTTTACAGCAACAACTGAGAGACCAAGATCCTAGTTTTATCATCAAAACTCAAAAGTTTTTCTCAAATGTCACACTTTGGGCCCACTGAATTGCCCAAATACAATCATGTTCTTGAGGAAGGGTTTCCAATTGCTCACTGTTTTCACTGAGAAATCAGAAGAAAATTATCTTATCATATCTATCTGATCTTATCATATTATTAAAAAAAAATGATGTTATTTGTTTTTTATCCCTGTTACATGTAAAATTTTGTAAACTCAAGACACATTGTTTAATGTCTCCAAGAGTGATTATGCAAAGTCGGATTGTGGATGTCAAAAAAGGCAAATAGCTTCAAGCAATCGCTTTATGTACCGGGTATTACATTCAATGACTTGATTTCTACCTGTGGAGCTGTGTCCCCATAACCCAGCACCCAACGCATAACCCCTCTGATCTCATCAAGATTGACAACGACAGAGGGGATGATCTCTACAGCCCCTCCTCAGAAAAAGCATCTTGAGATCGTATCACTCCCAGCGTCTCATCACTGCTTTAGCACCACACTTGACCCAATGGCGCGGTTTGTTTCTCCAGGTTTCTCCATAGTCCAGCTGTGATTGCTACTGACAGTGGAACATCTGCTCTCCGCTCCATTTAGAGCTCCTTCAAGAGGTTTGCGGGCTGCTCAGCGAAATCATCGCAGCATCCCAACGCAGCTTGAGGCATTGTGTACAAATTTCTGAAGCCCCAACATTGCAACTGGGTGCATTTTCATGGCTTTGCGATCGATGCACAGAAATGTCCTAAACACGAAAATATTCGCTTAATTTAAGAAAAACCCAGTTACCAGCAAGAACATTTTCTGATTTTGCAAAAACGGCTGGAAACCAGTTCTGCAAGCAACTGCATGGCTATTTTAACTCGTACCCTCTTTGTGTTTTACTTAGCAAATCTTGTCCATGCTTAGCATAATTCAGTGCTTCGAAGCTCCATGATACTGGTCAACAGTGCTCAGCCCCACCTGTCCACAGATCATATTTCACAGACTACTTTAAAACTAGTCTATTTTAGGACTAATCCACTTCTGTGCCTATAGGAACTGGAGGTCACATTTATAGAATGTTATGTGGGTAATGAATGGTTCAAAATCTATACCTCAGTGTATCATTTATCACTACTTCACAAGCTGATGTACCGGATCATGATCGGCTAGGGTGTATTTGTGTTGGGGTTTGAAATGTAGGGAGGATCTGTCACCTGGGTAAATTTGTCGAAAATACAGTAATAACTCCTATAGAAATGCAAGTCCAAAGGACACAAAGTAACAAACTTTAAGCCCCAATGAGCTAACAGAAACTGGTATATTATCCTGTAACAGTCAAATTGAAAGTTTTGTTTGGGAGTGTCATCTCTGTGGAAATTGGTGTTGGAAGAGTAAGTGCATGTTGCTAAGACTGTTTGAGACAAACTTTGCACAATTGTGAACATGTTGCTTGCACATGCTTTTGCTTTCATTTGTTACATGAGATACACAATGTATGCACATGGGTGAGTTGATGCAGTACAGAATCATACAAGATGTAGCACATGTGATGTACAATTAGGTAGTATGCTGTATGCAATTATCCATAGTTGTTTTAGTATGCCTAAAATTGAAACGTATGTAAATTTACAAGCACAACAGAAAATCAATGTAACTAGAGGCGTACTAGCTACATGTAGGTGCACACAGCCAAACTCAATAGTCTACACTAATGTA